ACTGAGTGTATTTGTTTATCACCAGTATTGATCTATACACAGGATTTCTCATCAGGATGAATTACATCATACTGATGCATCCATATATCGAGTTCATATTCATTCATATTCTACTTAATGTAATTATCATAAAGACATAGTATGACTATTTTGCAGAGTGCTAGTAGAGCGGATAGGGTTTCTTGTTAACTAAAAAATGTTATCGGTTTATAACAGTGTGCAAAAAAGATAATATCTGTCGTTTCCTATAAACCTGCATTGATAAGTGTTATGAATTCACATCTTATTTACCTTTTGTAGTACATATAATTTGATAGTAGAGCCCTGTAATTAACAGATCGGTATGTGCCAATCTATTAATGACTTGCAGTTTAGCTAATAACAAGGATAACAGACAACAATATGGGATATTCTAAGGGTTATGTGTTCTCAGATACTGTTTCTATGCCCAGTGAACAATCAACGTTTTCTACTTATTCGGGAGTATTTAAAAGTACATGTAAGATATTACGTAATACATCTACAATCGCATTCCAACTACGTATTTGTGTATTTATTATTGTGTCATGCAGTTTTCTCACATATAAAGCATCCGTTTAACTATGTCTAATAATCGTTTGTACAGAGAAATTTAACACAGACTATTGGAATCACCAAAGCAGTATGCATATATCATTATTCGGCAAGTAGTTCATTAACCTATCATAGAACATATATCTGAATATTGAACTGGTCACATTAATTTACTAATTTTAAAATAATCAAGCGTTTTTTTCTTGTCTCACTAAAACAATCTATACTGATTTTTTTTTTTAATTTTTCAAGTGGTTGATTGTTAATAGAAATTCAATTGTATATGATGTAAGACTTTTACGGCATAAATTAATATAAATTTTATCATTTTGGAAATAATAGTAATTAACCAAACAGAAAGGTGAAAAAGTAGTAACATAATTTTTTGTAAATTCAAAAACTGATTATTTCAAGTGAACATTGTGAGTAGTGGATAGCTTAGAAACAAAACTTATTTATATATTCTGTTTCTATCAAGGTTGGCTTTTATCGTGCAACATTTTCGAGAGCAAAAAACTTTAATAGTAGTGATAGATGGTGGCTAGCATTGGAATCTAGGGCACGCGTTCCGTTCTATTTGAGACTCATCAGCTGGATGTATTTGCGATAGTTAAGTGGATAACGCTATGGCGTTTGAAGCAAACGGTATTGGTTTCGATTCCCAAAGTGGACATCAAATTAAGGATGCAGGTACATTCAACTGACGAGTTCCATTTAGGATGTAACGTACGTCCTGTATTCAACTGCTGGCCACCATCCATCTCTGCCTACAATGCTTGTGACTTAAGGCAATATTATGACAATCCACACAGGATGCATATATACCAATAAGAGACTGATCAATTGCAGTTCTAATCATTCAATCAGTCTCAACGTGGAACCTGTGCCTATGTATATCGGTTCAAGTTGCCATATCACATTAGCACAGAGAAGTGAAATTATCAGGCCAAATTCCACAATAGTGGGTTTATTAGCACCATCAGTATCAGTGGTAGTTGAAAAGATTAGATTTCGAAGCTACGATTCTAAAAGAAAAGTCTCCACCAAATAGAACTATATAATCTGCGTATTCTAAGTCAGCAGTTTAATCTCTTGTTTGAAGATTAATCCTGGAATAGTCAGACGATGAAGTTGCATGCATATGACAACGCTAAATAAAGATGGGGTAAGCGAACGACCCTGACGAACATCACTTGAAGTAAGCTATTCAGATGACAGTTCTCCATAAGCTTTGACTCGATCAATAGTGTTCGAGTGGAGAGCCTGTACAATGTTAATGTACTTCTTTGCTACATCTTTCGATGATAGACACTGCCACAGAACCTTACGATCAATGGAGTCGAATGCCACTTTAAGGTCAAGGAATACGACTATAGTGTATCTGTGTTGTAGAACTCGCCGGAAGGTGAATATTTGGTCTATACATCCATGACCAGGTGTTAAACCAGCCTGATTTTGTCGGGTTTGCTCTTCACGAGTTCCAGTTAGACGTCGAAGTATTATTGAGGCTGATATTTTAGACACTATATTAGGTAAACTGATTTATTTGTATTCGTCACGAGAGGTTTTTTGTCCCTTAATATAGACTGGGATGATTAGTGATCGAGACCAGTCCTAAACATCAGTGGAAAGATTCAAACAACTAATACAAGATGAGTTGAACTTATTAGTAGTGTTGATCATAAAGCTTTAATCATGGTTATGTTGTATCTCTGTAACTAATGTTTCATCGATCTTTATCCAACAATATCCACTTTTTTAACTGTCAGCATACAGTTAGTTACGTGGTATATATATATACTATGTTGAGTAATATGGGTTTTTTTTTTCAAAAAACGTCCTAAAATTTCATATTCCTTTTCATTGAACATTAGTTTTCTAGTGATTGGCAGTGTTATTATTCATTTTGATTATGTATTTCATCATTCTTAGGTATATAATTCTGTTATAGCAAATTTAATTCTTAAAATTAATTTGCTACTATTTTCTCAAGATACTTATTTATTTATTGAGTAGTCATACTCGGAAAGAAATTGTCTAGATATCACGAATGTCACTTTCTAGTTTGATACTCTTCAAGCTGTAACGGTTCAATCTTAATTTTAATGTGAAAATTAATCCAAAGAAAACAAACTGTTTAGTCAGTCAACCAGTTAACTAACATCTTAACACAGTACACATGATGTCCTGTTACTTAAATTAGTGGCTATATTGCAACTTATAATCGATTGTAGTCAAACATTAGTCTGATTTCAGCTCAGTGATGTCTTTGGCTGTGTTGAATTGAGTCATATCGTCAAGTTCAATAATACCATCTTGTTTGAACTCTATACAAGGTAATCGATTGAATCTCTGGATGAATATTTTAATTTAATGTAGTTCGATATTTTTGGTAGTTACTTATATGCCTTACGTTTTTATCACCTACCAATAGAAAATAAGTTCTACTACTTTTTAATTGTGGTCATCTTCATTGGGATAAACCATCTTATCCATATTTAATTTTATCTGGTGTCATTTATACTATTATTCTGCAAATGTATATCTTTTCCAATTTTACGTTGTTCATGGTTGACTGCTATTTATATAAAATCGGAAACAGTAATTGATAGTAATAATAGTGGATTGTGTCTGGCAGTAGAATATTGGACGCGCTTCCCGTCCTATTCGAAAATCATCAGCTGGATATGCCTGCCACATCTGAGTGTTGATGTTTACATTAAGATTCATGTCCAGTAAGTTTTGCTTCAAATACCCACCCATTGTTCACTGAGCTTGTTTGCCCAGATAGTTACTAGCTTGTGCAATGTATATGGTTTTTATACCATTATTAACGAGGTTTCGGTCCTCAATAACAACAACAACGGGATCATTTGAGCATTACTAATGTTGATTTCATAATAATAATAATAATAATAATAATAATAATAATAATAAATAATGTTACTGAGTTGTTTTTTAAACCAGATGCTTCACAACGTTTATGTTTGATGATATTACCCCTCTTCTTTGCAATCTGACATTCTCCCCGGACTTATCTCTGATCTCAAACTAACGTTCACCAGTTGCAGCTCAAATGAACAGTGTACCCCATTGTTACATTTTACCACTTCATAATATGTAATACTTGCTAATTATTTTGTATAAATGAAGACATGACAAGTACAAAATAATGCATCAACACTAGTCCATATCAGAATGGGTTTTGTGGAGAGTTTTAGGAATTTCACAGGTTGAAATCATGAGTCGATTGAAGCTAGATCACCATGGAAAACCTGGAAGCACTGGACGGCCGTTTCGTCCTGGTATGGGACTCCTCAGCAGTGCGCATCCAGTAGGTCCTGGGTTCGAATCCTGCGTGGTGCGGGATCGTGGATGCGCACTGCTGAGGAGTCCCATACTAGGACGAAACGGCCGTCCAGTGCTTCCAGGTTTTCCATGGTGGTCTAGCTTCACTCGACTAATGATTTCAACCTGTGAAATTACTAGTCCATATCTTGTTTTCGTTGATGATTAATGTGCTTTGTTATTAGGTCGCTTTTGAGGTTATCCAGTTTGCACCGTGTATTGTACTTCAAGGAAATATGTAAACTATTGGTTTGTTTTCTTGGTTGTATAGAAAAAAAAACTTAAGGACGACTGAATCGTGTACTACTCAGTATCTTCATCAGTGAAGAAATACTCGTTCCACTTCCCTGTTAAACTAAATGTTTTTATTGCACTCTGAACACATTTGTAAGCTGTAATGCTACTAGTTACTAGTTTATTATTAATTTTCTACCTAATTGATTGTTTTGACAATACTTCATTTATAATATAATAGAAGACAAATATTATGTCTATAATTGTTATTACCAAGTTCGTATGTACTTTTTATTCAAGTACATGATAATTGGGTCAAATAAACAATCTCGTTTGCATAATGATTACTCGATTTTTATTTATGAATATCACTTTTCAATATGTTTGTTTAATCCTAATACTAGTGTTTTCAGTCATATAAGACTGAAATATCAGTCGATATGTTTATGTCAGTCATCTGTCTATATCAGCAAATATCATTCAATGAAGCTGGGTTAGGCTGTGGTCAGATGTTGATATTTAACGCCACAAGATATAAATAGTTTGTTTGAAGTTGGATTTTCGTCGAGGTTTTGTCTTTAGCTGAAAATAGACTATGAACTTTTATCTATCTGTTCGATTTGATTAGTAGCAAAACCCTTATATTGAGTGACATGAATCTTATGTTCATAACTCTGAAATGAGGTGATACAACACAGTTGTCTGGTTCTTAGTCTAGTGAATCGCTTGTATTTCAGTAAATAGTATATTTCTTCTTATTATTATAATTATGTACCGGTCTTAATCACTTAAGTATGTAACAGTGTCTACTTATCCTTTTGTTTTTGTTTTGTAATTTTTATAAGACTCTTCTTGACAATGAAGAAGTGAATTTAGATGAACTGGAAAATAACAGTAGCTCTCTCAAAAGGATCCAACGAAAAATTGGTAGTTCTGATTGGGTTGATTCTGATGGTGATACAACAACAAGTCCAGTAAGCAGAGGTCAATCAGAGATTGGGACTAGTAATACAGATGCTCAAAGATTAGCATTGTTGATTCAAAATCAATTGGATGCAATAAATAAAGAGATCAAAATGATACAGGTAAAGTTAACATCTGATCTTCTATGTGATGTAGGTTAGTAACAAAGTATGAGTTCGTGTATCTGTTTCCGGGCCATAGTTTTTGTTAGTGGCTCCAGTAATTCTAAGTGGCTGAATAAACCGAAGACCGAAGATCTCGTGTTCAATTTCCGCGTCTGGGATCGTAGATGCGCACTGCCGGAGTTCTATTCTAGGATGAAACAGCCTTTCAATGCTTCCAGTTTTCCGATAGTAGCCTAACATGATTTCAGTGAAGGAAATTTTTATCTCTGCTAGAAGTTCTCATAACTCCAAGGTTATACATAACCATTGTAAAGAAACATTGAATTATGTATTTTATCTGACTGCGACTCGAAAATTCAATCGTGTTTTGACTTCTTATTTGTTCAGGCTTCCTGGTCAGTAACTCATGAATTCAGTGCTCGAAGTTGGTGACAAAATATTTTAATCCTAAAAAACCAATAAATGTATAAACAGTTTATGCTAAATAACTCAACAGATTCTTACATATGACTGATTAATTCAAATTGGTTTCAGTGAACCATTTGTACAGGATTTCAAAAAATTGTGCTATCATAAATAAATTCACTGACTAGAAAGTTGTATTACTATTTCTTTAAAATTAGTTACTCTTTTGTACGAGAAAATTAGCTACATACAATAATTCGTCTGAGCTTGAGAAATTTTCCGACATATATCTTATTGATATTAAACTATAAGGTGATAGAACAATCGGTAATAAATATTGACAAATAAGGAGTAGATAACAGTTTATATATATATATATATATATATATATATATATATATATATAATGTTTTATGCCGTTTTCGCGTATTTACGTGTTTAACTGAACCCAAACAGTCCCTATGTTACTTAACAATAGAAACTCAAGTTTCTCTTTCTCAAACTGATTAGCAATAAAATTTAGTAATGCATGATTTTAATATTGAGGTTTTAGAAATCATTATGGTCTCAAAATTCAATAATGAATATTAAAACACATTTGACTTATTTTGTAGGTTGTATATATATTGACTAGAGAAGTGGTCGATTTACAACTATCTCTGATAATTTTTTTTATAGTTGGGCATACTGGAAAGTTCTTCGAGCAAGCCATTCGAAACTGGGAAAATTCTAAAAACACTTTGTAAAGTCAACTCTCACTAGAACCTTCTAGAAAAAACGATGAACTTTGTCATACTCTACTCTGATTTGTTAACTACCTATCTTGTTACTAGATTTAAAATGTCTCCAGAAGTTTCCTTACCACTAAGTTTACCTATTAACTTCTTGTACATATACCAATGCATTTGTTAGCGATAATGTAATTAGTTGGCCGAAGTACAAGTTTAATTGTTTACTTCATAAGACTTTTTATTCAACTGACTTTTCAACATTTACTTGTGTTATTTTATTTAGGAAGAGAAACAAACTGCTGAACAGTTAGCTGAAGAGCTAGAATTACGTGTTGGTTGTACTGCTACAAATCGTAATGGCAGTTCACAGGGACAGTTAATAGATGATTATTACAATCAACAACGTGGCAATGATACAAACGAAGCATATTATTATACTAATCAAGATGGACGTCTTAATGCGAATAATGTTATGCCAAGTTTATTACCTAATTTTGGTCCAACTGGTTGGTCACCTCCACCATCACCATTAAGTTCTAGGTCAACACCATTCGGTGGTATTTCTAGTGATTCTTTCAGTGGTAGTTTTAATAATCCTAATCGAAATGCATCATCGTCAATATTATCATCTGTGGTAGTTAGTAAAGAATCTGAACGATCTATTCCTCAATATGCTGCTCCTACTCCATTGGCCGTAGATCCACGTCGTAATTTTCAACATCAGCCTATTCAATATTCACAACCGAGTAGTAATAGTGGTTTTATGTCGCGTAGTAGTCAATTTGAACAACAACGATCAATGTCAGCCGCTGGACGTCCACTGCATCAGGTAACTGATTCACTTAAACAATGTGAAGACATGTCTTGTATATGTCTGGTTTTATCATCATACATTGTAAAATTATGACATCGTTTTCACAAATGATATGTGTATGCGTATACTTTGTTACATGTATGAATTTGGTTCAGACTTATTAGCAGTGAAACAGTTGTCGTTAATGGCATTGAAGGATCATAATGATGTACAACACTGGTTAAAGTTGAAAATGTTTATAATTGGACCCAACCTAGTGGCTCTAATGATTATACGTTCATCACAAGAACAAAATATCCTGGGTTCGATGCCTGGTGTTGTCGTGGTTACCTTACTGTTGAGAAGTTTATGCGAAAACGAGGCGAATTTTCGGTGACCTATAGATTATAATGTTACATTAACAAAGATCAATCTGCGACGAATACAACCTATAAATCTAATATTATTCTCTTCTCTATTTGTCATGTATGCAGAATCACGTTCTAATATGTTCCAATGCTTGGTTTTTATTTATTGTAGTTCTGACTAGAAACTACGCTTAATTTTACTCACAAGTATTGTTTTAGCTTTCATGTATTTATTCTTCTTAAATGTCTAGTTAATTAACGGTAACACGCTATTCGTTTTCTCTAGTAAAACGTCAAGTTTATTTACTATATATATAAAGTGATATACTAACACAATAAGTTTCAAAAAGACCGATCACATGCATGAACGAAATTTATAAATCACTATAGGGGTTTTGTGTAAATTGTTGTGTTTTCGTAGTTAGCATAACGGACTGAATCTAGTTAGACTGGCTTTAAAAAACAAGGAGCTTTGGACATTCGTATTGCCCTAGTATAGTGTTCTTCAGCACCTAGGACCTACCATTTCGAGCACTAGCACAGTTCCTGGAGTTTCTGGTGATAACCCATGACTAGTGGAGTTTGATCATATCGATTGTGAGATACCCACTCCAAGCGATGGAAAATGGATGTGCAGCATTGCGAATCAATTGAAGTCATACATGTATACAATTTCGTTCCTGCTCAACTCTCTAGGCTTTAAGTGTTTGCTCGAGAAACTTAAGGCTATGTGTTTAGTCCCTTGTGGTGCGTTGTAGATGGGCACTGCTATGAAGTCCCGATATCGGGACGGAACAAATATCCAACGCCTCCTGGTTTTCAATGTTGGTTAAGGAAAATCGGTTCGTGATGTGAACTATTAACACTTTTGAAAAGTGATGATCAGCTAGGGAAATCGGAAGGTAAAAATACAAACAGTGAAAAACAATGTAAATCATATCACTCTGGCTAATAAATTAGCATTACCGTGGTTAGTACATATAACTTTCGAACACACATAGTGGCGTTGTTGTTAACCTTCGATGCAACCAAGTTTTCAACAAACCTAAGTAGTCGCTTTATACAAAAACACGAAGGCTGAATTAAGATAATTCTAATAACATACTTCAATTGTGTTTGGCAATGAAAAAGATGAATGTTTGTCACCTGCTCTTATTGAATCAACCGCCTTTATTTGTTTACACAACTGTCTTGGTACAAACTTAATAATAGTTAGATACTTCAATGTCATAAGTGACTGTCACATCATATTGTGCTCTTCTAATTATTGCCTCCTTATTTAGTTACTAGTATGTTATTTTTATGTTTTCGTATGCGAATTTTAAGACGTTTTTAAATGAGAATGAGTGATAGTTGAGGTGAATATTGTTTTCGCTCTTCCTTTACGGCATGTGTGCACAGAGTGATATTGAAACATATCGCTATGAAAATCTTTGATCAAATAAGTATGTCCCACATGCTAGTATACAAACACTTACATGGTCAGTGGCTGTTGTTATTTGTTGTAATATAAACATATAAACTGTAAGTTATTGGGTTATACTAAATATTATATGTTTTAGTTCATACAATTTTTGTTTATTCAAATATTACCGCTGTGAGCAACGGATCATCGTAAACTTATTTTTCATCATCCACAAAAACTTAATATCACAGTATACCTAAAATCATTTATAGGCTAAGCTAGTTATACTTACGACTTGTAAACGTTAAGCTGTTACGACATAGTATCTTTTATTACGATAATTGATGTATTTGATGCGGTTAGTATTTTAAACCAGAGAGCTCGAAGTATCCCTATCAGTGTACTATGAATCACTTTTCCTGACCTGCCATTTTCAATATGACTATTTCTAGTGTTCAGTTTTATCCAACAGAATATATCTTTATTAAATTCACAAACTTATCTAAGTTAAACAACCGTTGAAAACCTAAAATGCAATGTATCGTCTTTTCGTCCTAGTATGAAACTCCTCAGTAGTGCGTATTCACCAAAGGTAATAGAACATGATTGCGCAATATAGTTGATTGCTTAAAGTTAGATTTGTGCATCATTGGATTCTGTGTTAGTGGTTTAGAGGTTAACTGTTCACTCACTAGACTTCTGGTCTCAGATTTGCCAATGCGTAGTGCTGAAATGAAATGCTCATATTGTTATACCAAGTTTATAATGATTGTCTTAAATCTGTTCGTGATTTCTATGAAATTAAACAATCTCCACAACCTAAAACTTAAAAAACATATTTTATTGGCTCTGATGTCGATTATTGTTCCTGAAATTCATAGGGTTCTAAATTTACGTCATAAGGTGTATGTTTAATATTTATAGTACTGACATGTTATTTAAGTGTCAATCTGTCTACCTAGTCTTAAATCTCATATTTAACTACATTACTTTATATGTAAGTGTAATTAATAATTCGCCGTTTACCTTATGGCAATCTTGATGATTCCTAACATTTTACAGTTCCAGGAAAAGAATTAGATACAAGATGAGACTGTATATCCAATATTTAATGATGATTAATGATATCTTTCTTGATTGTGTCAAGATTATACCAAAGATTAATCGAATTGCTAGCTGTGGACTTAATTGTTTAAACCTTTGAAACGCTTGATACATTGGGGCAATTTATTTTGCATGATTTGCAATGTACATTTGGATTTGCATTTGAATCACACTTCATCGCCTTCAAGTCATCCTCCTCTTAATGATAAAATGTTTGATGGGCTTGATAATTTGAATTTAATCATCTGAGTTTGCTTGTTCTGTCCCCAGACTACCGCCTTATCAGTGTTCACTTAGGTTGTTTTTTGTGATATATGGTCTTAGTAACGTTTAGCTAGAAGGTATGGTTCCTTTATATGCTGAAAATAGATGAGTGTACTGAGAAATATGTGTATGCGGGATAGAGAATTTAGAAGGAGGAAAAAGTAATTGAGGTAGTAATTCAGTAGCCACATCAGTAATGAGAGAAATTAACAAAAGTCAGTTTCAGTAGTTCCAGTGGATAAAGCTTCGGACACTTGAAGCAAAAATGTACTGTATTCATGTCTTAGTGTATTGATCAACACTAGGATGTATTACAAATACAACGAATCAAAAAGTCCCAAATAGAGTGATATACGCATCCTGGATTCCATTGCTACCCACATGCCATATATACTAAAAATGTGTCAAGGCAATTTACGTATAACAATAGAGACTAGTCAATTGTAGTCCTGATTATTAACAATCGTAAAACTTCAAACCTATACCAGTTGAACCCATAAGTTGATGTTAGTGTTCAGTTTCTGATAAATTTTAAGTTTTATATTGACCTATCATGTTCTTCGCTTTCTTGTTAATATCCATTTAACGTTGTTTCGTAAATTGAGTCAATAATCGATTCAGTGATTTAATGTACGGATAGAGTGGTAAAAGTTTAGTCGAAAAAAGGATCACAAATAAGGCCTAAGAAAAATATTGGTTTTTTTCGTTTTCAAGGATTCATGTTTTCCCGTTGTTTGCGTTAGTTTTCAAAAAGAAAGGTTCTGGTTTACAATCTTAGTACGAACATCAACATTGGGATATTTAGCAGCTACATTCATGTTCACAAGTCTTAAATAGAAAAAATCCACTCATTCTGGATTTGATTATCAGCCCATATTCAACTTTAATAGTTGAATACGTTTTACTTGTAGCTTGTTGATATTCCTTTAATCATCAGGCAGTCTCATATTCATATAATTATTAAATTGTCTCAGTTGTATTACTGAATATTTACTTTGTCCAATCTCATAGTAATGTTGATCATCATTTATTCTAAGTATTTATCGGTGTCGTCATTGTTGTATAGTGTTGTGTTGTCGATTCATTTGTTTTTTTCTCTCATAAAATGTTTTCATAAAGCTCATTCTCATTGTATAAATGTAACATTGATCATTCTATCTGACATTCTTAATTTTTCTTTCTTACAAACAAAACAAAAACTTCGCTGTATTCTACAAATGTGTATTATGCATCAAATCTAATATATATGTACATGTATATATGTGTGTAAGTCTCTGGGCATGAATAGTGGCAATTCATTGTCCACACCACATCTTAATCCTCAGTCATCATCCTCTTCATCTTCATCGCCATCTGTTGCACTGTTAGGTCAAAATTCACATAATTCAAATAAATTAACAATTACAACAACTACAGGAACAACATCAACATCTACATTAATTACTAATGGTTCAACTAGAAGTGTAACATTAGCTGATGCTATTGCTGGCCTTGAATTATTAGATCAAATGCGTAAAGAACGCAGTACACAACAACAGCAACAGCCGAAGAACAATAAATTCACTTCATATATCACTCCTGAGAACCCATATGAATTTGGACCAGATGAATATACAACATCATCTATGGTAGAAACAAATTCTAACTCTGAAGTCATTTCTTCGGAGTCAAGTTCAAAATCCAGTCATGATCATCAACATCATCAGCGAGAACAACAACAGCATCAAAGGATACAACCAGTTGAAGAAACAAGACGATTACGAAAAGTCCCTAAAGATAATGATAGTTTTCTTGTAAAAAACAATGAATTTATTCCAACAGAGAATATAACATCAAAGGTATACAAATGTATATATATATATCCAGTTTAAAGCTTGCCAGTCAGTTTAATCAATTTTGCTTGCTTTCTTTCTTCGTATAGCTATTATTATTAGACTTCAGTGGCTTATTACGTTGCACTCAATGTCTGCTTGCATGGTCTTAGTTTGCAACACAGTTTTTGGTTTTTAATATGTTGTGTGATTAATGAGAAATTGTAAATAGATCCTGATATATATATATATATATATATATATATATATATATATATATATATATATATATAATAGTGAAAGCGTTGCTGTAACTGTATAGTCAACACCTACTGGACTCAATGACTCAGTTTAATAGTTCAATATCAGTAGAGATAATATTTGTATGTTTTAGTTGCTGTTAAAATCTTTTACAATCACAGGAAAAAATATCTTGCATTTCAGTGGTTTAATTGATATTTTGATTATTAAAAACTTGATTATTCTCTGACAGTTAGCCGGTTTTTATCAATTTAAAGCCTAAGATAAATGTGCTTTGACCCTAGTCGTCCTACTGGATTAACGCAACGACGTGAAATTAACAAGATGAATAGCAGAGGAATCGCGATAGGGTAGTAGCAATGACAATGAAAAAGGCTGAGCGTTGAGAATATGCTTCAACAAGAATAAGTGAAAACTTATATACGACGAGGAACCAGAACTTGACATTTAGAGTAACATGAATTAATACGTCGGCTCAATTGTGACTGATTCTAAAATACATCACCCAACGTCTCAAATCACTGATATTAGCTATCTTACAAACCCCAACCATGTAGCCTGCATGTAGGTTCTTAATCATAGGTGTAATCGAGTAATACTTGTGTTTCGTGGAATGATAGACTGAGCAACATTGAAGCTAGGGATAGAGTACTTAAGAGAGTCCGCAAATCAGTTGATAAGGCAGTGAATCTCCATGCATTGTGGTGATTAGGACATGTATTACGTATGTCTAACAGCTATCTACACCAACGAACGATGCTTGGTAGTGCAGAAATAGGCTTGAAGAAAGCTAGGGACTGCCAATCTAAAACGTGGCATCAGTCCGAAATGTCATTGATTATTGGTTTTAGCCATGTTAGTAGACGACGACTTCCTGTTTGGAGCCCGTTTGATTACTTCGATAAATGGCTGAAGACTAGGTGGAATGACTCAGATCCATTCATAATGGTGTAGCTGCGTTCACTTTTAACGCTCCTCTCGATCTTGAATTTCAGCATCCCTTCATACATACCTTTTCCAACCATAATACGAAGGTTTACTCTTTCCTTTTATCATTGATACTCTATTACGTCAATTTCTTTCATTATTTTTATCTTGTCGTGCTAGTGTAGTATGGGAGCTTGGGCCAACGCACGTCTATCAAAGGCTCTATGTTGATGATATCTGTCTCTGTCTAGTCTGTATCTACTGACAAGATTCAGACCAACAGTTCAATAACTTTATGGATTGATTCTATGTCTTGGTGCCCCGTTTAACTTTCTTCCAGACGATTTCTACAAATAAAAATATCTTTTGTCGAGTTAGGCCATTAATTGGGCATGCGTAATAAATGTTTTAGCTACCTCTGCTGATGAAGATTTACAACCTTAATGACCTATCTGCCACTTTTACTAAGTACATTATGCTCAAAAACCTAACACTGTTCACTCGATCAACTATTCTGTTTAAGTCTGCTTCATAAAACCTTATCTGCATACATTTAATTACTTTGTCTTCTGCTTATATTAATTAGGTTCTATCGTAGATTGATTACGTTTGATAATGATTTTCTCCCAGTACTACTGACTACCTAGTGGATATTCATTTGAATTTAGAAAAGTACTGCAATTACTTAGATTGTAAATTCATGGTTTTATCGATTGCAATTGAATTCGTCTAACCTAATTTTTATTATTTTATTATATCAGAGTTTTTATGCATTTAATAAGGAAGTGTGAAAATTATATAATTCCATCTTTCAATCGGATATTGCATGCAATTCCATTAAATTAATTCTGTGTGTGTGTGTGTTTATAATAATAATAATTGGGTTGTGTTTATGCTCATTATTTCTGCCTTAACTCCTGTGATATTTATTTAATTAAAAATTATCACATTTATAATGGTTTGATGGAGAACTGTTAGGTGGTACCATCTTTTTGCTCGATTGCTTTTTACTGAACTGACTGATTGCACAATTGAATAAATACCATTATCTCAACATTTGTTGGATTTCACATAGTATACAGTATTGGTTATTGCTGGTTGATAATAGAGAAAGAGATCAGTTTAGTGCTTTACCATGGTGTCGGTTCATTAATTTATTACATATTGATCTGTTTTTGTGAGATGCAACCTATCTAGTTGGGTTCCTCGTGACTATCGTCAACAATGTTTGAAGACATTGATTGATATGGGACAGAATCGGTCATCATGGCTTAGATTCATTTACTCTTTATATATTTTCTTAGGCCCTGAGTTCCAAAATTCTCTCTTACTTTTTGTTTCATGAATTCATTCTTTCATACTGTATGTTTAGTGTTTTCTACTACCATTGGTACTGTTACTATTTTTAGTACACTGGGATATGTCTCGATGTGCTGATATTATTTGGCAGCTTGAACGGTTGACGATGTGGGTCAGAGTCAGTAGACAAAGGTAGAATTAAGATAGACTTAAAGTGAATGGAAACTGTACATTTTTGATAAAGTTTCTGTAAACGTCTTGAGGTTACAATCACTAACATGTAAAATCCGTGGTTTTATGGTTTGTTAGGTAGTCGGAGTCAGTTAACTGGAAGCAGTGGCCTAGGTTTCGTCGTAGCTGGTAGTCATCAGCATGGAATACATATAATTTTGATGGAACTGATCAACTTTTTGAAATTGTAGCATCCAGCGCTGCAATAAGAGATATTTCTATTATACGATTGGGGCAATTATTGATTGGCCGTATGTTCATCTCTAGCACTTAGAGTTGATCAAATCCTATCGATCAAATACTATGTTTGCATTTTGTTATAAGAAAACCAGTATAATACTAGTTATTTCGACTAATCATGATGAAACCCTAGCAAGCTTATGAAAGTTTTAAATGTTATAACAACAATTATATTACAATATTTGTTCTTCCACATTATTTACACTTCAAATAACTGGGTGTTTTTTCCTTCTATTCTGTTATGAAGCTTTTTAATATCATTATTATGAACTTAAGACATTTAGACGATTTCGTGTAGGTTGTTTTTGTTTCTTCGTTGTTATTTTATCGTTTCAGTAACATTTACGTCGAGTTATTTACATTGCTCTCAGTACACTACAGTCATCATTGTTAATGTGTATCATTAGCGTAAGCAACCGAATTCAAGACTTTTGTATGATGATTAGCATAGCCGGTTGTGTTTTTTTAAAGAAAAAAAGCTAAACTTTACCATTCACTTAGCTAATAATTATATTCATGTCTAGTTAAATTAATCTACAATCATATAATCAAGTTCATGAAACCATTTATTTCAGTTCATAAACAATTCCTACTGACATATCTATGTAACACAAGTAAATAATACAGGAATATAGGATGTATTACGTAATAATAATTGATCAGTGTAAATTGTCACATTCCACATTGGTACAGAAAGATAATGAGTATTAAAAACTAAAAATTGCGAAACGATAAAGATAAATACATTAATAGGGTGAGTGGATGAGTATTTAGGGGGGGGGAATGGAAGAAATATTGTATAAAGTTTAAGTTTTGATGTATAAACAATACTATGAAATAAATGCATCTGGTTTATTGTTGTGATGTAACTGGAATCATTTGTTCAACATTTGTAACTTTTAATTTTTACCATTTCAATGAATCCACTCCCTTCTATTCTACAACGCTACATAAGTCATAACAGGCAGTGTTTTCAAGGATTATCGTTGTAATAATAATAATGCATCATTGATGTGTTGTTATTGTTTAAATTTCGTTAAGGAAATTTATTACGATATAAGAATATCATGGGTTGAAGTCAGATGGTAAGAACCTAATGTGATAAAATTAAGCTGTGCTAGTATTTTCAAATTGTTATCGTTAGTTTTTTTAGTATTTAATGTATACCGTCAGCAGAAATGAAGAGTTGAACTTGGAGGCTGTTCAACTAATATTTTGATGTAAAGGAATCTCAGCGGAAAGGCATCTTATGCAAATGTTTCTCATTAATACACACATAAACTGCTATATTCATGTTTTCTGTAATATGGTAATTTGTTGTTTCAACTGTGTTTTAGTATATAACAACATTGTCTTTACTCTGTTTTGGTAAGTAATCTTTAAATCCGTGAATGTTTTGGAAAAAATTATCGCAAGCTTTAGAACACTTATCATGATTTGATTGCACAAATTTATTTTTTTGACTATATAAAAATGATCGGTAAAAATGCTGCAGTTATAATAAACGTAATCTATCTTCATGGCTAAACTCCTTGAATTACTTCAGTGAAGTTGTGGATCTACCATACGTTTTATGATTTCACATTGTTATCGTATTTGTTCAGTGCTCGTTTTGAAATAACTTAAAAATCCAGTTCATCAGAAAGGTATAAACTTAAAGTCTATTAGTATTAATACTATCTACCAAACTGTAGTATCCCAATCATCCCTGTAAACTGGTTTGTATTTTAATTCTTGGAATATGTGTTCTTATTATCTTTAGTGATGAACAAAAGTTTAGAAGTTCTTCTTTCTTGTTTTTTTCTTTTTAAAGATAGGATTTAAGCTTCTCTAGTTTGTTTAAGTTATCTTTCAAATAATTATACTCCAACATTCATTTTAATAATTGCCTATCGTTTGATCTAGATATATATACGTTAACTTGTAGTATTTTTAAAGCTAAAGTAATGTGTTTTTTATCACAGCCGTAGTCGGTACTTTTTTCACAAAACGATGATTTATCTCTATGGTTTATAATTCAATAATTCTATATGTTGCATCATTGCTTCTTCTTAGTTAAATAACCACTGGATAGCTGTTTTATTCTAGTATGGGACTACTCATCAGTGCCCATCGACAATCCCGATGGGGATGGAACTCAGAACGTTTATATCACACCGTTATCATTCAACCTTTAAAATATTGCGTCGACATCTGATGATTTACATTCCCAAATTTAATTAAATTGTGATATTGTGTAACCATATTTCAAATGCATCATTTGTGGTTAACTGTCTCATCTCTGACGTGATTGAACTTCACCGGTCATGGTTTCCCACTAGAACTCTGTGACTTATCCCCTTAAAATGTTACTAGTTAGCACATGATGATTGTTAGTATGTGGAATTCGCAGAGGTCGCTGGATTTTATGGTTTACATTACGGAGTACCATTGGTTGTTTAGTCATTGTTCATTTGGGTTGACTTTCATAGGGTAAATCAATTTTAGCTAGACCATCATTAAAACTTGAAAGCACTAAACGGTCGTTCTGTCCTACGATAACAGTCTTAAGCAGTAGGTATCTACTATTCCACATCTAGGAATCGAGCCTTGGACCTTCACTTTCGTGAGCGAGCACTTAACCTCTAAACCACTAGACCGACATCCAACGGTCATGCTGTCAATCAGTTCTCGATATTGTCCAACTCTCGTTCAGTACTCGGATAACTGTCTTACACCCGATTTAGTTAAGCCATCTGTCATTGGTTAATTTAATTCCGTTGTTCTAAAATACCTTTCATCAGAACCTTTCAATTTCGTTATTGTTAGAGTGTATTTATACTACGTTTTTACTACATCCTAATAATTTTTTAAACTGAATTATTTATATTTGTCTGTTGTATGGTAAAGTTTTAACTTTCGTATAAAGATATTTGCGAGTGATAAAACAACACTTCAGAAGGAATTATTTCAACAGTTGAATTGCCTTATTGAATACCAACAGTATATCTGCTTTTTTTCTCAATTAAGTTTCATAATTTTGCAGTGTGCATGCAATCTGTTCTATACTTAGATCTAATTCAAAGAACTATATACATTTTAAAAAGTATAAAACTTATGATAATTTCGGAATGGGTAAAAATATTGGAAATGTTGTTGAATGCAAATTTCTATAATGTATATCACTTCTCTATAGATTTGAGACTATTTTTTTTACAAATCTCTATTGAATGAACTGTATGCAATTGTTTATTACAAAGATTAACGCTGAATGTATATTTGAATATGACCTACAATTACTTCGATATATTTAGCTTTATTGTCATTAAACGTGTATGGATTTAATGATGAGACTATAATTGATAGACAACCTTTGAGCGACGTTAAAATGGCCTTGAGAATGTCCACTTATTCACTAGGGCTAAATGAGAGTTATAAACTTATGTGAAGAATAAGGATTATGATTTACAGTTGATGGTTAAGGCTAGGAATTAGGTTTAAAGTTTACATCACGAACTGACATCAGCTAAAATGTCAAGACGCTCTTTAACCAAATGGATGAATGGATCTCGCGCCAAAATACAATACATGTTATCCTAAATCTGATTGGTTCGTCCATAAATTATAGTTTCGCCAAAAAGCAATCAGAATAATTTTGTTTTTTGATATCTTAATGAGTATAGATCTGAAAAATGTGGAAGAAAACTCTTTGATAATAATAATAATAAATTATCTCAATAGTTTTTTGTGGTAAATTGTTAGGTATTTTCAAATTAAATTCATAATTTGTTCTTCTAAAAGATTGGATTGAACTTTTGATTGATGTATCTAAATCAGTGTCGAAATGTATACCATTGAACTTCACATACAGAAACTGAACATTTATTGTGCTTGAACAGTAAATATTAAAGACATTTTTATATCAGATTGATTGTAGCTAACAATGTCATTCAGAATGCGTATTCCATCTTATTTACGTGGATGTATTCTCATCTCAGTATTGATATTTAAATTAAGACTGGAGCCTAGAACAAAACTTGAGTGTTTAGTTTAGTCAAATAATGTATTAAAATTGTTGGTCTGACCTATATCGACAGGTAAGGATTTCTTGGTTGAGGTCACAAGTATATTCATAACCAATGTTTGACTACTTTCTGTAATCTGACTTGAAATCAGTTACAGTAGTTTAGTCATATCCATTATCTGCCTTTCTTTCAACTGAAGTATAATTTCTAACATTTCATTCTTTGATTTCAGTTTTTTCTTATGTAATCCATTTTACATGTTCAAACTTGTATTAAAACTGAAATGTAGCCATCTTGTTTACTGCTTATGTTGTACATTTTCTCTCTCACTATGATGCTGAACGAATTGTTTCAACTTAAATTATTACACATTCTTATAATGTCCTACCGTTAGTGATGAATGGTAAGTTTACGGTTATTGGTGACCTTCATTCAGAGTAAGTAAAGTTCCACAAAATCATCCATTGTAATCGTAAAATTTATGATTATTTCTCATAATCATTACCATCAGTTACTACCAACAATATTATTCACTGTGATCACTGAGGAATTATTTTGTAAACGAGAATTATATATATATATATATATATATATATATTTCAAAGATGGCCTAGTTGATTATATTTCAAATACCTAGGTTTTCCTTTGATCGAAATTTGACCAACTAAATTTAGAATTTTTAGGAATAATTTTCTCTCTAAAAAGCTTCTCTTATCTAGATCAAGTTCACATGTTTTCGTTTGTTGCGTGATTAATTCTACTTGGTCTTCTTTCACAATTTATCATATTTATTTTTTTGTTCTTTCCTTTTTGCATTTCCTCTGTTCGTTGTTTTTTATCTTTTGAAAATCTGAACCTATATCTTACCGTTTTTACTAATAGATTTATATATTGCTGGTAGTTGTTATTGTATTACTGGTTTGTAATTTATGCTGTGATAAACGGTATATGTTCTCACATTATTGGTCTTCTGATACATACCCTTTTCTTCTTTATGAGAACAAAGCTAGTCGGAGAGCTGGATAAAATTCATGATTTATTACCTAGACTTTATTGATAACTATGTAGTCATAGAGTTCCATTCATGTAAGTAATATCCGTATAGATTAAATTCTGAAGTATTAGTCTTAGATAACTAAATATGAGAAAGTATTAAAAGTACCTGAATTACTCACTTGTTGTAAATAATCTGTACTGTATCACTATCAGTTAGGATATGAGCTATTCCGTTGTTGATATCCAGCACTGAATGTTGGTCAGTATTTGTTGGCATATGTATAGTCTATTTGCGTTGTCTCATTAAAGCTATTTGTTATATATGCCAACAAAAACTCATAAAAATTCAGTTATGGTTATCAACGGTTGAATAACCCAAACCCTTATTCATAATTACATAGACGTCATATTTGTTGAATAAGTTACTGGCTGTTTGGACTCAATAGGTCAGCAGATATCTCGTCGGCGTTCAGAGCTGAAGGTATTCATTTCGAGTTCTAATGTTGGCATTAACAATGGGAGTCATTTATATCAAGTTGACACTTCCCTAATAGAACAAAATATGCCTCCTAGATTCTACTGATAGCCATAATCAATCTATTCTAGGTCAGTGCTTTTTTGTTCTTGTTGATGATAATTTCCTATCGATCTATTCGTATACCTTTATCTATAAGTAAGTTATGGTTTAGGATTGTTGTCATTTATTTCCTTATCTATTATATGTAAATCAAACGTAGTTGCATGTTACTATGTCTTAAAATCAGATCATATAAATTAATTGATCAGATTTGACTAAAACTGAAATCAGAATTAGCGAGTGAAACTAAATATCGTCTAATGATTAAACATTCTTATGCATATTTTAATTTTCTAACCGTTCGGTCGGAAACCGATGTATATATTAGACTACATTACGAAATAAAAACAGGAAATTATTAGCTCAGCGAAAGAAATTTCATGCTCAAATCTATACAATCGCAATTGTGAAGTATTTACTCAATAATCGATAATATGTTTGCTAATAACATTTTACTGAACATAATACAAAAAAAAATCAGAAACCAAATGTTGTTTTATACTATTTGGAATGATTTGGATAATGCGATTGCGTTTGATGCAAACGGTGCTAGGTTTGATTCCCGAAGTTTAAGGTATGTAGTAATAGATTATTGTGTTTAGGTGTTAAAGGTCAATAGAGAAGAAAATGGGGAGAGTTAGTGACTTTGGTGAACTAGAGTTTTATTACAGTAGTAGACTAGATTTTTCGTAGATACAATCATGGGTTTTCTAAAAGGTTTAGTAGTGCTTAAAATACAACTCTTCTCTGCACCAATCTTCCTCGTGGATATGTTTTGATTTATACACCGTGAAATATATAATTCTGAATATTGAAATAATCTCTCTAGATCTCTGTGAGTTTCAACTATTCATTTGTTGATAGTTCTTTTTTGATCTCTTTCATACGATTCGAAAATTTACCACTCATTACTGGACAAAATCTAAATCTTACAAAATGTAATAAAGAAAATTTTTAAATGTTTGCGTATTCTATTAAATTAATCAACTATTGACGAGTTTAATGTCTTTTGATTTGTTTACTTCAGTCTTAAAATCACCAGTAAATAGAAACCATTAATTCAGCTTATTTCTTCTCTCTTTTGTTTTATTTTATTCTAAATCAGGTTAGCAATGGTGGCTTAATTACATCGGATGATTTATTACAAAATAATGTAATCAGTCAACCACTTAGACCTGCATCACAATTAAATTATCACTTACCTGTTGCTGCTCCTACTGGCGCTGGCGCTCCTCCACCACCGCCATCTATTAACCCAAATACAGTGAACAACGTACCACCCCCTTCAACAATACCAGCACAAGAATTGATGAATAATACTAATATGTACATGAGAAATAATTATCGCACTAATCTACCAATTTGTACCACCGGTATTGGCTATCCACCTGGGTAGGTGATTAACATTTTATGTTGTTGGGTTTTTTTAATTCTTCAGTATTTTTTTGTTAATTTTTTAAAGAAACATGCCGTTCTACTGTTTCACTAAAATCAGTATTGTCTACTTTTAGTGACAGTTTCTTTCATTAACTTGTTTAGTAAACTAGCATGTGTTATTCTCCCATGATTCTGTAATCAATATCAGTATTTACGCCGTGCGTTAAAGATCTTGTGGTTTAGTGATTAAAGCACTTCACTTCCAATATTAGCCAATCAGCAAACAGTCAGTATAGAGTAAAAATATATTATACGAAACCAAGGAAATAAAGTGGATACACTTCTTATACGTGTTTCAAAAACTTGTCAAGGTTAGAAAGAGGTTCAGAGGTTCTAAAATCGTAGTGCATGCAGTAGAGGAAATCATCCATACAGCTACAGAATAGTTGGCCTCTGGAGCCATGATAAAGTCTCAAAAACTCTTTCAGCCTCGGCCACATAGCTTCAATATTGTTTATGTGCACTCCGGTTGTTGAGTGCACAAAATGCTACTTGTGGATAACGACACGATGCACATAAACAAGCCTATGTATGAGTCTGTACGTTCTCCAAACATCCGTATATATTGTAGTACCTGGCTGCAGCCACTGTTACTGGTGCTTTTATTATCCAGTTCGCAGTAATTGTCGTAATTTGCCGTAGTTAGGAATTATATATGGGGTTTTCATCACGAACTGACATCAGCTATAATGCCAGAAATTCATTTAGGCAAATGGATGAAAGGCTTTCGCGTTAAAATCCGAGATCTATTATCTTATGCCTAATTGATTCGTCCACAAATTATAGTCCCGCCGTTTTATTTGTTATAGCCGCTCAATTATCACGTTATGTACAAAATTCCCTGTGAACCGATCGTACGTTAGCATTAAGCACTGAAGTTGGTGCCACAACTTTGAAATCTTCAAAACGCCTCTGATTAGCTCGTCCATAAATTAGAGTCTTGCCAGTTTATGACTAAATTACAATGAAAAGTTCATTTGAATTAACAGTTTACAAATTACTGATCCGAAGTTCCATTTTTAGAATAAGTTATAATTTGTTTCAAGTAATATCTACGTATAGTTTTTGGCAATCTTAAATCATCATGTATAATTTTTTATTATTTATTTATTTTATTTTAAATGATTAAATTTTTTTGTAACAAATTGTTGATATTTTTTTATAAAAGTAATTTATTGCTTACTTTTTTTGAAAAAAAAATTCAACAACGACAATTAGTTCTGATAGTCTGTTGAACGGAAAATGTGACAGTTCTTTGTCGAGATCAACTACACAAGTATCAGTAGCAGCAGTGGCTAAATCATTGGTTCTACCTGGATCTAAACAACAATTACCTAACTATCAAGAATCTAACTTACCTACTAATAATACAACATTAATACGTAAATTATCAGCTCCTATAGGACCACCTCATATTCTGTCAAATCATACTGCTACAATACATCTACGTAGAGGATATAGTTTAAATAAACCTAAAATGGATAATAATGTTAATGATGATAATAAACGTGTCAATCAAAAAGTAAATGAAGGTGGCAGTATTGAAGGTTGTGTCGTCATTAAAGAGACTGTTAGCGACGAAGATTTAAATCATTCAAATTTTCGACATTCTATAAATACACTCACTGATCATGTACCATCATCAAGGTAGATATAACTATCGATAGATAGATAATGAATGAGATTGCATTGTGTTGATTATTTTGCATGTAGCATATAAATATATGTATTGTTTATGGATGTTTTTAAGAATCCTAATTCTCTGTACGGCTATAATCGTTTGAAGTTACAATTACAGTTGGTTTTTTCTTGTATTCTCAAATATGCATCATCTTTTAGTTTCCCAAGCTATTAAGTTTGCGTTTGCAAGATGGATGAGCTACAACTAATTGTGAACATCTTGATGAATAAATAATTTGGATATTATGCTAAAGAGTAAAGCAGCAATTTCAGTCATCGTTTTGATCTTCCAAGGTTTGTGAGAAAAGATCCAAATACTCCTACTGTTATCATTGGTTGTGCATACCTTAGTTGGTTGAAACTGTCAAGCGTGTTTTAACTACGCATTACTTTCATTCATTTATGGGTATATGCGCATGTTGAGTAATTCCGTATGAAGTGTTTAACTGTTCATCTTTTCAATTTAATCAATAGGATTATTCTGTTGTTGATATTTTGACTGGAACGTTTATCAGTTTTGGTTGGTATATGTGTACCTTGTGCTGTGCGGACTGCTTCGATATAGCTACTACAACACAAGTTAGAATAGAATAGATGGAATGTGGCCGTCAGTAGAATCTAGGATGCGCGTTTCATACTTTCAAAGTCGATATTCACTGAGATTCAGATTCATCTGACTGACGAGTCCCATATAGGACGAAACGCGCATATTAGATTTTACTACTAGCCGCATTCCATTTATTCTATATGGACTTGTTCGCTATATTGTTTTATTTATTCTTCATGTGTACAAATGGAAGATATAACAGTTGCATAATCAGATAAGCTAAGCTTACTCATTTGAAATCAGCATGCAATATACAAATATAAGTAATTTTATTATGAAGAAAAAACACCACCACTCATAATGGTGTTTTTCTTTCTTTTACTTAGTTCTTTATCAGTTATATCAGTAGATAGTCCTGAAGACGAAGGCTCTTCAGCAGCTTCTGATTCATTAGTTTGTAATCAAACGATCGAAGGTCAAACGTCAGGTCAACAGCAACAACAACAAACAATACCACTTACATCAGCACAAAATATCCCATTAGTGAATAAACAATTTTATCAGCAACAAATGCAGTACAGACAACAATCGATTTCAGATCAGCCTATGACAACGTTAACTCAACAACCACTTTACCAGCGAGATTATGAACAACAACAACAGATCCAACAATTGCAATTTACTCATTCAACAAGACCTCATCTACAAATGAATTCTATGCCAATATATCATCAACAGCCTATGGGATTGTATCAAAATTATCTACGGTCAGTTGGACCTAGAAATCAATTATACAACATTATTGATAGTCAACAACAACAGCAACAACAAATCAATTCAATGTCTCGATTAGATTCAACACAATCATTTTTTTCGCCTACACCATCACCTACACCAAGTAAGAAGAAATCGCGTATGTTATCTGGTACATTTGGTCGATTATTTCGACGTAATCAATCAAGTAATATAACTGGGAATAGCGGTGTTGGTATTGTCAGTGGACCATATGATATGGCACAATATTCACAAAATTATTATCCTATACCAAATCATATTAATCAATCAATACGAATATCAGCTTCACCACCGATACGTCTTGGTTCACCAATGATACATACATCAATTGCTAATAATACTCATAACAATAATAGTACTACTAACAATACTAATAGTAGTAACAATAATATTCGATATTCTATGCAACAGCAACCTATGAGTCCACAGCCGATTGCTGTCGGTCCAGGTGGACATCAATCACTATCATTACCACTACCACCACCTCCGCCTTCAGTACAGTATCATCCGTCAATGTCCAATCAAGCACAAATGATACAACAACAGCACCAACTCCTTATAGAACAGCAACAACAGATGTATCAATTCAGGCAACGACAACAAGGTTTGGAATATGGTATGAATATTTTCGGTCTGTATTCTTCTTCTTACTATTTATACTAATGATGGTAGGATGTTATTGTACTATGAAAATATAAATATTGTGTTGAGATAATGAACTGATATCGGATCTAGTCGGTTATTAGTAAATAAATAAACACATGCAGGTAGGTAAGTAGGTATATCTTCATTTGTGCACATATTTCATGTATTGCACATGACTTACCTTTATTTCCAACTAGTTCCATATAATGATTCACATTCTGGAAACAAAATAATGATATTAAACAGTGAGTATCATTATTAAGTCAGCATGGTGTTCATAATTTTATTTGGGATTTAAAACACGTGATAATGATCATAGAACATGGTAATGTAAGTTTCACTATCCTTTCTAAGTAATTAGTCACCCTTCCATGGTAGGGGCAACAGGGAAGTGATAAACACCCTCATACCTCTAACAGCACTACAGACCCAGTAATTAATGCAAACAAATCGTATACCTATGAACGCATATTTCCACATTAGATGGATAAAAGTTAACTATCTAAAAAATTGCTAACACAAAGTCGTTTGAAGTTCAGGTTTGTTACGTAGTTGGATCTTGTTTTCTTAATGACAATCTCAGTAATGTCAACTATTATATGCCTTGTTCTCGAATTATCATTTTTAGGCTGTAAATTAAATTTGGAACAAACATCTAAGGAATACTAATTTCATTGTATTACTGAGTTTATTCGCACTAGTTCTTTTATGTATACTAGTAATAAGTTTCTAAGTGTCCAGTGTTTAATTATCAACATAATTTTCTAGACATTAGATAAATATCAATAAAACTAACCTATTCGTGGATAATTTGATGCTTCGTTAGAGTTTAAATATGTGTGCAATCGTACTCATGCCATTTTAGGTACCCTACAATCTTGTGTAAAAGTTGTAAATATACCAACTTTTTTATTGTAATTCCCACTTCAATCCAACCTTGTTATTCGGAATATAATTACGTTCCTGTCCAACCGTATTCTGGTTTGCGAAGTTGTCGAGTGAAGTAGTGTTCAAGATTACTAAACAATAAGACTAGCTGGGACGTAATAAGGGAAATCATGATACCTCCATTTATAATAGTTTCCTGCGAACATATACTGTTACTTGGTGAATACAAATAAATTTTGGATTCAGTCTGCATTTATCACATATAAGTTAACGTAATAATCAAAGTGGAGCAATATTGATGTGTATCATCACGAGTATTTGATAGCTTACACTTCTTAAAATAATTCCATACGGAAATAAACTTCTTAGTCCTTACTAGTTTGTAGTGACTCTCTAATTCTTTTCGATTGATATGGATTTTCCAAACAAATGACGTCTGTAAAACAGCAAGTTGGTTTTACTGTCTGGAAAGATATTTCAAAGATAGAAGAGGCGCTTGAAAAAGTTGACAAATGCTCATTTTGGACATCAAATGACGTTTGTACGTATTTTAGAATTGATGTAATTTATGAAACCGCATGTTGAATTCTAAATCTCTAACGTGAAAATACTCTGAATACAGAAACATGATAATAACAAGTTCTGTTTTAACAAAATTCATAGATGGATGTTTCTAAAATATTGCAAACTCTTCTTACAGAATTCGTCAAATGCTTCTTACTATACAATGTTACTTGTTATTTTTTGGGATTGAACATCGTGTAGATCATTCAATATCTCATATGGGTTGTACAAATTCATATAAATGAATATATTTAGATATTATTCTTTACATTAAGGAATTTCAATAAGTTAGGAAATAATCCATGTCATTGTTACATACTATCTGAATAACTTCTAAATAAACTAGGACGAATTAAATGCAGTCAAAAGTTGTTAATTTAATTATTCGGAAGTTAATAGAGGTTAAAATAATAAGAAATCCTTCACGTTCGAGTATTCAGGAAATAATTGCGATAAGCTATCGTCCATTTTCGAATAAAATCCTTTACTGAATTCATTAACTTACCATGAAGCTAGGTGACTCATGTTCGAACCCTACAGGTAACATCAGTTCCTTCAAAATTGTGGGTATACCTTGTTGATGATAGCAAACTGAAATGGAACCTAAATGCAGTGTTTTCTCCTGATTACCTGCGACCACCTAACACTTACTTCTTATCTTGTATTAAGTAATTGAAAACAACACGCGTAAATATTAAAGACCTGAGCTTTATTAAAAGTCTGCTCATTGAACGCTCTATCCGATTTTCTAGCCGCTTTTAATAACCTCAGACTAAATCCTACAAGACAACTTGAACACAAGAGAAAAGACGCGAGATGCATAAGTCATAAACTGGTGATTCAGATTTATCAAACTCTTAAAATATATCAAAATGATTTATGAATACATCACTTTATTTACAGTTAGATTAATAGTCAGATTTGGTATATATTCAGTTCAGTTATATTTAACAATAATGTTTCAACAATTTACAATGTGCACACATATTTACCATACTCATATAATTATGCATCTATAACTAACAAATATAACTAATTAATTAAGTTATAAAATTACTCCTTACGACGTGAATACATGTTACACACGATTGAAAAAGATCAATTTCATATGTCATTTGCACTCCTATCGATTATGCCATTGGTCGTCATATCACTTTTTGACACAGCCCTACAAAATGTATGTGAAATTATCTTTAACTGAGGTGACAATCATGAATACTGTTTCTAATATAAAAGGATAGATAAATCATTTTCTTAAGCTTGTATCGATTCCAGTGCATTGTTTATCGATTGTTATCTTGTGGTTTAAGTCTTCTAGAATAAATTTAACATATCAACCATCTTAATATTTAACAAATACCTATTATTATGTATTATTCTCGTATTTCTCATTTTGCTTAAACACTAGATGATGGATGTAATGGACCAAATCTTATTACTGGAGGATCTATATCACCACTTTCGTCATCCACTGTATCAGGAAGTCTTTCTGAATCAACTATTCCATCAAATAGTAGAATAATGAGTCCAAATCCTATGTCTTTGACTATGGGTAGTAGTGTTGGTCAACTGGCTAATACAACACTACCACCACAAGTCCCTGAAGAACGTCGACGGTGGAAAAAGGAGGAGTTATTAGAACAAGCTATGATGGCTAGATTACCATTTGCACAATGGAATGGCCCTACAGTAGTAGCATGGCTTGAGGTATAGTCAATGTCTGTTAGATATTCTCTTTCTTTTTCTTTAATAACGAAATCATATTTTATAAGTTTTTCAGTTAGCTGGCTAAAATTTCTGCAATTGTTCACAGTAACCTTTGAGTTAAAGTTAATATGTTCTCATATGTTTTTTTAAAAAAAGGGAAATAATTCAACAATTCATATAGACTAGTTTACTATTCGATTTAGTAAATATTTTCTTAGGATTAAATTGAACTTTATTAATGAGTTACAGAATCATTATGTACTAATTCCGCCTATAACATTAACACATCATCCATATTAGTTCAAACATATTTTCAATTGAATCATTATCATTGCTTCTTTATAAGCACTTTTTTAGTTGAATTAACTGTACTACATCAACTCAGCTGTTTCATATTATTTAACATAATAGAAATTTGATGAGTTTGAGTTACTTACAACAACACTGAAGTACACAGATGAGAATATATGTTGAAACATAATTAATACTTATAAGCAGAGATGAATGGTGGCTAACAGTGGAATTAAGGACGAAATTTTTGTCCTATCTGGGACTCGTCAGCAAGATTTATCTGTATCCCAGAGTTGATGTTCATTCGGAGATTCTAACTCAATACTATTGGCTTCAAATGCCATCACTTCATCCACTTAGCTACTGATTCCAAGTATCCATTACCTTGTGTAATGGGGTAAAGTCTAAGCCCTTTCTGTATTAGTTGTCTGAATGCCAATAAGAGACTGATCAATTTAAATCATAAACTTCATTAGGGAGTATCAAAAAACCAATACAAAAATGACTAATTAATACTATTTCATAAATCATGCTATGATGAACTGGATAGGTTTTATGTAGGTATCATTCCTGATGGGTACATAATTTATTTTATTATTTTGCATTATTTACTTCACTTGAGTAGTACATCTAATTTGAAAAGCATTTTCTTGTCAGTAGTATAAAAATTATATTATTTATAAACCAAACTATTTGTTTAGACTTTAAATGTTCCATATACAAGTACTACATTATTTATTGACTATATTTTGTATGTGTTTGTGTGGAAATAATACAATTCAACTCAACAGCGATAGTAGTATTATTTCGGAAAACTCTGTGTATCGTTAACAGGACAGATTCCTGTTTTCTCTCTCAATTTCATCTAAGGATCTTTAAAAATTATGATGAAATTGAAAAGTAGAATTATATTCATGATATTGTTGATGAATATAGATGTTGATAAGCATCACTGCTAGAGTTTCACTTTCATTCCTTAAAAATGCAAGTCATTTTTCGCCAATTACATGAACTTGTCATTTGGATTACATCAGGTTGACACAACATATCAATCTACATCCATTTTGGTTTGAGTTCGAATAAGGACATCAATACTGCGATGCAGTTCCAAACAGAAGGAAACCCGCTTCTTGGATCTCACTGATATGCACACTTCATCCATTCCTTAGAGAATATGGTTTAAAACAAGAAACTAAATTGTGTGAAATGACTGTAACAGAATAATCTTTTATTCTTCATGAAAGCTTAAATAAAGAATATGGCTTATCTACATTATCTCAATCGAACATCTGCAACAGTAGATTTCGATCATTCCAAAGTCAGTCAGTCAATCAGTAACAACGTAGAACTTCGTACGTACGTACATCAGTTCGAGTTGCCACACCACATTAGCACAGAGATGCAGTGGTCGATTCAAATCCCGTAGTGGTAGAGGTAATAAGAGTATAAGCAGTAATCGGGAAGATTAGTGTTTGGAGATGTTATTTAAAGAGTATAATACAGTGAAATAAATTTGGGAAGAGAAAAAAAAGAGACAAGGAGGAATAAGGAGATCAAAATTTGGGAGAACACAGAGAGTGTATGCACCTGCGCCATTGCAAACGATTTTGAGCGATGTCATTCAGGGTCTCTAACCATCGGTTGCTATCATCTCGCGGTTCCCAACCAGGTAGTCTACACCTATTAACATAACTCAGACCACTTGTCAGCGACTTCATGGACTTGTGCCATGTTTTGGTCTGGCCGCCCCTAGCTTTCTTCCAAACTACTCCTATACCACTGAACATAGCACGTCGTGGCAGTCGGTCGTTGGGCATACGTAACACGTGTCCCAGCCATCTCAACTGATGAAATTTCACTACTTCATCAATTGATTTGCCATCCTTACCTAGTACCCGTTTCCTAACAACTGCATTACTTACTCGATGGTCCCAGGATATACGAGCAATGTTTCGAAGACACCTATTATCGAATACTAGTAACCTACGAATATCCTCTACTCTTACCGGCCATGTTTCACTGCCATAAAGTAGGACGGGACGAACTGCTGTGCAGTAAACCCGTCCTTTGGTTGATAGATGGATATCTCGCCTACGCCATAAATGACGCAAGTTGGCAAAAGCTACTCGAGCCTTCTGTATCCGTACTGAGATTTCGTCACACACCAGACCACAAGGGCTGATGAGACTTCCAAGTTAAGTGAAGCGATCGACACGCTCAATTACTTCACTCCCTATCACTAGTTCGGGTGTCGATGTAACCCAATCCTGAAGCAACATTTTGCATTTCGAGGGAGAGAATCGCATCCCGAACATGCTTGCATTGTTGCTTAGAGTGGTCAGAAGACTCTTCATTTTGTCAGCGTCTTCACCAAATAAAACTATGTCATCAGCATATTCTAAGTCAACAAGTGAACCTCCTGGTAGAAGTTCAACCCCTGGAAATTTAAATGAGGAGAGTGTTATCTTTAAAAGTGCGTCGACGACAAAGTTGAACAAGAATGGAGAGAGTGGACAGCCCTGACGAACACCACTTGATGTAAACAATTCTGATGACAGTTCACCATAAGCTCTCACTCGACCAGTTTTGTTCGAGTAGAGAGTTTTTATAAGGTTAATGTACTTCTTTGGTACTCCTTTCAGTGACAAACACTGCCATAGAACCTCACGATCAACAGAGTCGAATGCCGCCTTAAGGTCGAGAAATACTACCATTGTGGGGCGTCTGAACGTATGTCTGTGTTCTAGAACCTGACGTAGTAGGCCTGCTTCGGTTTGGGCACCCGGGCAGTATCACAACCCTCACGCATATCGAATGAGATTTGTGTGGCGCATATGTATTTGGTGCCTCCTTGTACCAATATCTATGTGTTAAAATAAATAAATAAAATAAATAATCATTAAGTAGAGCCCTAAGAGGTTTACTTGCAGCGTTTTTCCTACGTCCAGTAAGACGCAGACAGATACGCACTTATACTAGAGCATGATCTGAATCTAAGCATGTGCTCCAGAATGAGCGACAGTCTTCTATCGAGCCCCTCCATCGGTGGCTGATAACGACGTGATCTATTTGGGTCCAACGTTGGGACGAATTAGGGGGTCTCCATGTTAAAAGATGTTTTTCCTTATGCTTAAAGTTAGTATTTGCAAGAAAGAGGCGGTTATCTGAGCATAGCTGCAACAGACGGTCGCCATTATCTGTTCTTTGAGCCACGACACCATAAGATCCACCCATGTGTCTTTCCTTTCTACTTAGTTTACTTACTTGAGCATTAGTCATCAGCTACATTAGTACATCCGAGCGCCTAACGTTTTAGAGGTCGTGAAGCTTTCTGTAAAACTCATCTTTTACACCATCTGAGCTGCAGTCAGTGGGAGAGTGGGCAGAGACGACGAAGAGGCAACGACGAGTGTCCCTATCTTTCCGAGTCCGTACTGTTCCGTTTAGTCGAACAGCGCACAAAAGACTGTCTACTGGGATCCACTCTAAGAGAGCTGGTTCTGCCCTAGGACTCAATGCTATATCTACGCCGGCGAGGCCACGGGAAGCAGAATCAGGGCTTCCAGATACACGAAGCGTGAATCGAGATGGTTCTTTACTTTGATATGGTGAGGTCAAGTGAATGACGCTACTCGGATCCTGTGTGCGCGTTTCGGAGACACAGCACGCATCTATGGCGCGAGATTCTGAAGTCCTAGCTAAAGAGACCTGTTGTCTTATTTGGCACAGTGTTCGGACGTTAAAAGCTCCTATGTGTAGTTTAGAGCGTGGTTTCAGGAGACCAGGAATAACGTTCCGCGTACTCGAATCGTTTGCCCTAGCGGTGCGAGGTGATAAAGAGGCGTGAGAAGGGATAGTCGTGGAGATGAGAGATTTATTTGGAGGTGTAGGAAGGATTTAAATGTGACTGACTGGGCCTCGTGTGCTGTTACGGGTATGTGGGCTTATATCACTTCCCGGCTGCCCACACCGTGGAAGGGTATTTCTTGATGAACCTGAAAAGGAAATTGGATTAGTGCTGGTCTTGACGACCTGGGAGCGTGACCGCAGAGCCCAAGGGACAACTGCTTGAGGCCGGTCGCGCAAGGCCTTTTCGTGGAAGGTTTTTAATATGTTAGCTCCGTTCTTCAAAGGGCCTTACCGCCGGAGACGGAAATCCGTGAGGTAAGGTGAGGTGCGACATTTTTAGGGTCGACCTTTTCTAACCCCACCCTTCCTTGTGAGATGGCAGCACCGCTGCAGATGCTGGTTGTCCGAGGGAAACACCTTACTGCTGTCACACCTCTCTACAGTCATCAGTACGACTTCGCCCTCAGACCTTGAGTTGCTGCTTTTAGTCTTACCGTTCACCAATCGACCTGCCTGGCATGGTAGAACCTACAGGAACATAAGTTCCAGTCAATATAGCTCGGTTGGGTCATCACGATAGGCAAGCCCGGCCACCGCGTCAAGGTAGCAGCTTCGGTCGGGGATCATTCCAAAGACCATATTGTGGATCAAAACATCAATTTTACTGTCATCAATATATAATTATAACTTAAACCAAGTTTCACTAAAACATTTATATCCTCAAAACAGTCAATATACTTTCTAAGGTTATTTCCCTTTTTCCTTTTAGCTTTGGGTTAGCATGCCCGCTTGGTATGTAGCTGCTTGTAGGGCGAATGTTAAATCCGGTGCAATAATGGCATCATTATCTGAACAAGAAATACAACGTGAAATTGGTATTAGCAATCCATTGCATCGACTTAAACTGCGTTTAGCTATACAAGAAATGGTTGCTTTAACTTCACCAACTCCAGTTCCTAAGCCTAGTACAAGGTAAATTATATATATATATATATTCTACAAAGTGTAGAGATAAATAATAACTATCGTCAAACTGTAAACTTTATTTGTTAATTCACTTTTCTACTAAACTGTCTTAACTTTTAGTTAAATGATAGGTTCAACCATTATCCAAAGTAACAGATTTACCCACCACTGATATTGGAAGATAGCTGTGAGATATTGCGAAATCACGGAAGTTATAAATAAAAACTATTGGATACTGGTTCAGTGTTCTAAAAGTTAATTACTCACTACAGGGCCTAAAACTTCTGGACCCAATTCTTGATGGGATCATGACTGTGTGATGCTACTGATTCGAAACAGCTATCTAATACTTCCTAGTGTTCAATCCTTATCTAACTAAGATTAGTCCATTATTCAAACTGTAAATAACAAGCATTATAAGCAGAGATGAGTGATGTCTGACAGTGAAATTAAGGATGTACGTTTCGTCCTATTTGGGACTCGTCAGCTGGATTTATCTGTATCCCAGAGTTGGTGTTCATTCGGAGACTCGAACCCAATACCATTGGCTTCAAATGCCATCACTTCATCCACTTAGCTATTGATTCCAAGTATCTATTACTTTGCGTAACGAGGTGAAGTTTAATTCATTTGTATTGATTGTTTGGATCTTTCCAAGTATGTTTAGGACTGCAATTGATCAATCTCTTTTGTTATATGTGAATCCTCCGGGGATTACTTCCATATTGCCATCAAGTCACAAGCGTTTCAAGCAGAGATGGCTGGTGCACTTATGGCAAATGAGACTGATCATTTTCAGTCCTAAATACCATTTGGAAGATCCAAACAGCCAATACAAATGAATATAAGTAACTAAATACTAAGAAAAATCTCTTGAAGAACCAATAACGTATCTTATTGCGGTACATGCATATAAGCATAACTGTGGAGTCTGTCCACAGAATGTTGAGTAACACTTTAGTAAATATAAACATGAAATATAATAGTATTAATAACTAAATTATTTAGAATTCTATAAATGTAAAATATTGTAGTATTAATTAACATGAATAACTCTAAATCACTATCCTTGTCTTTTCCCTGTTAATCATATGTAAAACAATTTCCACAGCTGAAGAGGAGAAATGATGACGTTGTGAATTTTTGTCATATTAAGGTGACTATTAATAATTACGTATAAAATTTAATTGATACTAATGTAATGCTAACAAACGGTACGTAGAGCTACTTCCTGTAAATATAGTCCGAATTTATTTAATATCCGTTAAGTTTTGTTATTGCTTACGGTATTTTCTAGTTATAAAACACTGCGACAAGCGATAGTCAGCAGTTCAAAAAGTTTTATATTCAAGAAGATAAAATTTAAATTGAGTAACTCTCTCTCTCATTATATATATATATTATACAGACGAATATGTTTCATCATGTTAATTTATAAATGGACTTTTTTTTCTGCTTTTTTTTCTGTAAATTTTGTATAGTCGTCTTGCTTTTGGTGATATGAATCATGAATGGGTTGGCAATGTATGGCTTCCTAGTCTTGGTTTAGCCCAATATCGTCCAGCGTTTATGGAATGTTTAGTTGATTCACGGATGCTTGATCATTTAACTAAACGTGATTTAAGAACACATTTAAAAATGGTTGATAATTTACATAGGACTAGTTTATTATATGGTATTGTTTGTTTAAAACGATTAAATTATGATCGATTGGAATTAGAACGTAGACAACGTGAAGCTGCTCATCCTGATAGTATTGGTATGTTTACGGAATATTTTAGTGTTGATGTAATTGGCTTTTTCTATTTAAAATTATTTTTTAAACTGTTTACTTGGTTAACTTATATCAGTTAAAAACTACTGAAAGTCATGAATTTGCTACTGGGGAAACTGTCTGTTTCTGACTTCATATCTTTAAATTATTACTCGCCAACAACCTATATAAGGTCGAATGCAAATTTCTTAGGATACACAAAGAACACAAAACCACTTATCATCCACCTTCAGTACTCTATACAACACTATTTTACCATCCAGTTGAAACCCATTAATTTACATTTCTAAACTTCACTTGATTCACAATACAATGGCGTTTTTACATTTATTCCTTGTCTCACCCTAGCTCTTAATCCCATTTTCCCCTCATATATGCCTTTTCGTCCAATCCTTTCGAACCGTATTCTCAATTCTTAGTCTTTCTCATTATTATTTCCATTTTGATTCGTATGCTATTCATCTTGTTTGATATTGCGTCTCGTTATGTCAATACGGTAAGATGGCTTGTGTTAATGGATTTTTGTGTCAAGCTTCACGCTGATTATGATTAATTGACTCGCAATACAAAGAAATTTTTTCGTTTATCTAGATCTATCAGCTCTAAAATCTATTTGGTTCTGTTTTTAGTTGATTTCGTACATATCATAGCTTTCTATAAAAAAAACTTCAAAATATTCATCTTAAATTGGCCAGATTTAACTTTTTATCCGTTAATTGGTTTTCCAAGTGAATTTCAACCTAAGAAATTGTTAATTTGTTCAATTTCGGAGTGATATGAATTATTCAACTGAATGAAACAATAAAATCTAGTATTTTAACATTCACTGATTAGTCATGTGGAAATACATCTCACTCCTGCAGGAGTTTAGCCTCGACTAAAGTAGTTCACTTTTCACATTTTTGACTATGAAGCTAAGAGAATGCAGATTTGAATCCCATTGAATGTTTCAGTTCTCTAAAGATTACAAGTGTGGTGTGTGCTACTGATGTTGGCAGATATAAGTAGTATGTATTTTCAATCAAAAGTAGAATGCCTGGAGACAGAAGGTTAAGATCGAAGAAAAAAGAACGAGAACAGCGAATGGTGGGTGTGGAAACGAAGGGACAATGTATTCTGAGACGATTGATTCACATCTTGCAAATAAAGCATTTACTGTATGGTTCTCAGATTTGACTGAGGTATTCTGTAATTTTGTGTTGTCCCCACTTGTGTTCCCGTTCACAACACAAATGCGCCTTGAGGGACCATTACCATTTCACAATAAAACCTAGTTTGGGAGTTTTCCACCGACTGGATCCATCCATCTAGCTTGAAAACATAGTGTAGGGAATGTTGAGTCACTTGAACTAGTGAACCACGATGCTATCTGACCGATAGGATTTGATAAGCGTTTAATGAACCAGATGAAAATGATCTTGGTAATTATTTACTGATCAATCGAATGTAAGTTTTAATACTTTATATTTGATGTTACATATTATCACATAGTAAGACGGGTTAGAAAAAAGGAGGCAAGTTCAATGTAGAGAATAAAACTATTAGAATGGATCTTTAAAAAAATACGGAAAAACAAACAGACAAAATTAAAGCAAGACGATTGGGCGTAAACATTTCGAATAATAAGGCGTAAATTAGAATTAATACATTTATACAATTGAAATCACAGATTTATTTTGTTCTTCACATAAAACAATTCAGTCATTCAACTCATTTCACCTGGTATGTCATTAAACAAAACAATTACAGTTTGATAAAAAAGATTTCTTTACAAGAATGTCATTCACTGAAGCTGTATGATTGTATTTTTATACCTAATTTTTACACATGGTGGTAGTCTATGATATGTAAAATTGTTTTAAAAATGGCATCAGAAATTAGTCGAAATAAAATCTTTATGATGTTCACAGAACATCTATACCACTATTAATGATAATCTTGTGCTCACTGGTGACTGACGTCAAAATACAATTTCAGGAGTCCTAATGATAAGCCGTGACAAGTGGAGCTTAGCCATGTCGAGTGTAAGGTATTACAAGGTGATCGCGCAACATCACGAACTTATCGAAGTTAGACATACGCATTGCCGAATACTGGCTCAGTGGTTTAGGAGTTAGGTGTTCACTTTCGAGCCTTCAGGTCCTGGGTTTGATCACCTGCGGTGGGGTTTTACATGCTCACTGCTGAGGGGCCCCCATACTAGGGCGGAATAGGTGTCCAGTACTTCTTGGTTTTCAATGTTGGTTTAACAGGTATCAGTTCGTGATGTAAATTATGCAGATTTATCAATCTCCATTATATCCCCCATACCGAAATGCGAATCTATTAAAAAAACAACTTACAAAGTAAAAAAGGGGGTATATACTGGCACTTTGTTAATATAAGGGGTCGGACACACCGCTTCACAACACAAAAACCAGGCTTGAATTAAGAAATTACCAAAGCTTCTACTGCCCATAAGTTTTTTATCCAATGATCCTTAGAAATAATTCTAACTTTGTGAATAGTTTCGAATGAAGATTCTAATGGATATAGATAATCTATATCAATTTGTCAGTCAGTCACTCAGCTACAATGTATGGTCAGGCATATATACGCATCGGTCTAAGTTGCTACACCTCAGTAGCACAACAAGATGAACACTAAATTCATAGAAGTAGTTACTTCCTATATTAAAATTGATGAGAATAAATGATGATAACGAGTAAGTAATACGTTACACATTGAGAATAAAATAATATCAAATGACCTGACGAAATAATCAACTATTTTATACAGTGAAAATAAACACAACATGTTACTTTTGCTTGCGCAAGTGATAGATTTTCTTATTTTGTGATAGATAGATAGATAGATAGATAGATGGATAGATAATAATATGAAGTAGTGTGAAAGTAAAATAAATTGTTTATACATTGTACAAATCAAAAATGTTCAATGACTGATTAGAGAATGACATTTTAAATAAATAAGGATTCATCTATTCATACATTTATATGATTAACATAAATATTGAATTCATTTCGTTTGATGCTGTCCTAACTGTGGATATATTTTCTAGAACAATTTATCACTATTTCTGGTTTTATTTTGTTTTATATATAAGTCGATCAGTCAGTCTGTTTGTTACTTAATTATATAATTTCTATTCGAAGCAAAAGCTACTTGGTTCAGGTCTCAACGTGAACATCAACACACTAGGATGAAGATAAATTCATTTGAAGAATCCCAAGCAAGATGAAACGTACACCATAAATTTCACTGCTAGTTACAATCCAACTGTTCTATAAAATTTAGATAAATGAATTGTCGACGATTATTCGAATTTTAAATTAGCTTTAATCACATATCGAAAAATTATTGGTAGGTGAGGTTATACTATAGACTACGTACACTCCTTACTACGTGGACGCAATAGTCTAACTGGTATGTTGTTCTCGTTACAATATCTGAAAGCTATGGATTTGTTCCCATATAAACAAGGGTTTATTCCTAACAAATTTCACGCTAAAGTATAACAGTTATTTCATGCACAATAAATTCTTTTCGTATAGGAGACTTTTATTTTATGGATATATTACATGTCACCTGCCAAAAGTGATTAACAAACTCAGTCAACTACAACGTGGAACCAGGCACATATATGCATCGGGTCCAAGTTGCCACACCTCATTAGCATATCAAGACGGACACCAAATTCATTGAAGTAGTCACTTCAATAGTAGTAATATATAAAATAAAGATTGCATATAAGGATATAATATAGGAAGAAAGAATTAATTCGTAGAAAGAAAGGTACAAAGCAATTTTAATCTCACAATTTAAGGGAAGACAAAGAGTGTATATACCTACGCCATTGTGATCGATTCTGAGCCATTTCACCCAGGGTCTCCAACCATTGGTTACGATAGTCACGCGGACCCCAACCAAGTAGTTTCACTCTACCAACATGGCTCAGACTAGAAGTTAGTGACTTTGTGGACTGATGCCACATTTTGGTTTTGCCGCCCCTAACTTTCTCATCCATTGCCGACACTAGTCAGGATTGCGCGTCGTGGTAATCGGTGTTCATTCATATGTAACACGTGGCCCAACTATCTCAGTCGATGAAGATTTACAACTTCATCAACTGACTTACCATCATTCCCTAATACCCTGCGTCTTACCTCATTATTACTTACCCGGTGATTCCAGCAGATGCCAGCAATACTTCTAAGACATCTGTGACCATATACCAGTAAATTACGAGTATCCTCTACCCTTAATGGTTACGTTTCTCAGCCGTAAAGTGAAACAGAACGAACTGCTGTGCAGCATACCCGTCCTTTCATTGATAGACGGATATTTCGCCTTCTCTATTGACGACGTAAGTTGACAAAAGACAAACAAGCTTTTCGAATCCGTGCTGAGACTTCGTCAGACATCAACCCATTAGGGTTGATCAGACTTCCAAGATAAGTGAAGTTGTCGACGCATTCGACTAGGAGCAAGGTTTCAGTAGGCCTAAGATAGTATTTCGCGCACTAGAATCATTGGCCACGGTGACACTTGAGGAGGAAGTCAAAGAAAGAATTTTAAAGTCGGTAGTCGAGGTAGGAGTAATAATAGGAATTGAAGGGAGAAACTGATTACTAATACAGTGATCTTGAGTGCTGTCAGAGGTATGAGGACGGTTTTCACTTCCCAGCTACCCACACCGTGGAAAGGGGTTCTTCGAGAGGTACTCGAAAAGGAAATCGGGTTTGAGGTGGTCTTAGTGACCGCTGTGCCCAAGGGACAACTGCTTGAGGCCGGTCACACATGACCTTTTTGTGAGTAGTTTTTGTGTTATCTCTGTACATGTTGGGACCATACTGACGGAGACGGATATCTGTGGGATAAGGCGAGGTGTGCATTTCTAGCGTCGACCTTTTCTAACCCCACCCTTTTTTGTGAGAAGGCAGTATTTTGTCATGCTGGTTGCCTGAGGGGAACACCTTACTAACGTCACACCTCTACAGTCAGTTGTACGACTTTGGCCTCTGACCTTGACAGTATAAGGAAATCGTGTTCTTTTTCTATTGCCTAATTACATACATGATTGATTTGGTTTTTTCCGGAGTTTTCGGTGTTTGCGAAAAACAAACAAGTTTTTAGTTGAAAGAGTTTTGTGATGATTGGTTGAGTGTTTAGACTGTATTCGGTACAGATTAATCTATTGATGTACTATTGAAAGCTAGAGAATGCTTGACAGCTGTTTCATTCTAGCACGGGACTTCTCTGAAGTACCCATCTGCTCTTCAGGGATCGAACTCAGGACCTTCAAGTCTACTGACAACCCTCTGGGCTAGGGACCAGTGGTGCTCATTTCCAACTTTAATCAACTTCCTATATAGCATAATAATCATCCTTTTCTGGGTACTACTGCTATACTCCCAGTGCTGCCTGTGGTAACCTGCGTTCAATCTCTAATAAATACTACCTTAAAATTACACTATTAAATAGTTAAATTCGAATGAATGGACTTTTCTTTAGCTCTTCCTAATACATTTCATTGCTTCTGTTAGTCTGTATGAAAACCAACACTATTTTTCTCTTTTACACACACTTTTCCAGTTCTTATTATTACCATTACAGTAATTTAAAGGCTTATGTAACAGTCATAAAACTATTCTACTTCATCTTTTATACAAAACTATATATTTTGATTGGCCCGTCACAAGTATTGATAAAAATTTTCTATCCTGGAGTCAACATCCTATTCTTTGTTCCATTCAATTTATCTGTACTATAATCATTTTGATTTTTTAATGACTAGAAAACTCATTTATAGAATTTTTATTTCTTTTTTTAAATTCTTCCTCGTTTGTTATTCTGCATATTACTCATGACTTGGTATATTATTCCATAATATATTTAGACTTGTTTTTATCACCATTACGAATCAGATTTCAGCTTAACGATGACAGCTAATAGAGGGATTCTTAATGAGTCTATAATTTTGTAGTATACATCACGGACTGATTCTGGTTCGACAGTCGTTGAAAACCGGAAGCTATGAGCAACTGTTTTCTCCTAATGTGTGACTTCTCACCAGTACACATCGAGCATCACAGGGGATCGAACTCATGACTTAAGTCTCACAACATACATTTGACCTTCAGACCACTGAGTTGGATGGTATCTAGTGATATATCGTTTAATCATAGTTTGAGCGCTTTCCATGAGATGTAATCATTTGTTTTCAACTAAACGAGTGGATTGAATCGTTATCTAATTACGTGATGAAGCTTTTGTAGATAGAGTTAGGATTTAGATACAAAACTACCTCTAAGTATTTGATTCAATTTTAATTACCACTTAATAGAGATTATTCCTGTTAAAACATTAACAACATGTAGTTCAGCTAAGTGATCTCTTTTCAACGAATTTATTACCAAACTTTACAATCATATGAATAAATATATATGAAATTTCAAGTATTTATTCTGTGAGTTCATTTGAGCCATAAATAAACATGATGATGCAATGGAAAGATCACATAGTGTGAATAATAACAATAAAAGTGTGTGCGTGGAAATAAAAAACCTTATAAACTTAGTAAGTCAACAGTGGATTGTAATATGAAAAGAGTAAGATAATTAAAATGTTTTTATCAGAATGAGTTTTGTGGAGATTTTAGTAAATTTCACAGGTTGAAATCATGAGTCAGTTGAAGCTAGACCACCATTGAAAACCTGGAAGCACTGGACGGCCGTTTCGTCCTAGTATGGGACTCCTCAGCAGTGCGCATCCACGAACCCGCCCCCTGCGGGATTCGAACCCAGGACCTACTGGCTTCGCGCGCGAGCACTTAACCATTAGACCACTGAACCTTCTGGAGTTCTAGTGAGAAGCCGTCACCAGTGGAGTTCAACCAGGTCTGTTGTGAGATATCAGCTCACTGAAGACATTGGTGTTCGATGGCGCAACTTCGTGGATTGGTTGAAGTTAGATATTAACACCGTTGGATGCCGGCTCAGTGGTCTAATGGTTAAGTGCTCGCGCGCGAAGCCAGTAGGTCCTGGGTTCGAATCCCGCAGGGGGGTGGCTTCGTGGATGCGCACTGCTGAGGAGTCCCATACTAGGACGAAACGGCCGTCCAGTGCTTCCAGGTTTTCAATGGTGGTCTAGCTTCAACTGACTCATGATTTCAACCTGTAAAATGTTTTTGTTACAATAATTAAAGGTGTTCAAGAGGTTAAATGAAATGAAGTGATGTCAGAGGCAATTATGAATAGATGTATGGCACAAATCCATGAAGTCACTGACAAGTGGACTGAGCCATGTTGGTAGGTGTAGACTACTTGGTTGGGGTTCGCGAGATGATAGCAACCGATGGTTAGAGACCCTGAGTGATATGGCTCCAAATTGTTTGCAATGGCGCAAGTGCATCCACTCTTTGTGTTCTGCCAAGTTCTAATCTTCATATCTTTTTTCTTTCTTTCCAACTTTATTTTACTGTATTATACTCCTTGAATAACATCTTCAAACCCTAATGTTTCCGATTACTGCTTATACTCTTACTACCTCTACCACTATGGGATTTGAATCGACCACTGCATCTCTGTGCTAATGTGGTATGGCAGCTGGAACTGATGTACGTACGTACCAAGTTCTACGTTGTTACTGGCTGACTGACAATCTCTACAAGACCTCTTTCTGAACATAAATAAGGGATGAGAAATATTATCAAATGCAAAATCAATGGGACCAAAATGTGATAATAGTTTAAGGCCACTGTAAAGATAACAATAAGAATACTTCTTTTTTGCACATAGTTCTGGCTTCATTTCGTGGATGTTGAGGGGTTTTTATGTTTTAAGGAGTCTAGCACGAAACCTTTTGGGAAGATAGACAACCATAGAACCAACCTGTGGGTCAGTGGAGTGATTAGAATTAACTAAATGTAGAAGAAAAATACGACTTTTCTCTTACCTCTGTAGAACCATACTGGAATATGTCATCGTTTAAGTAATTTATTTTTACTTGTCATATATTTTTGAGAAATTTATCATTCTCTTATTTCGCATTTTACAATAATTAGATTTATTAGTTTGGTCATGTGAACGTGTTCAAGGTTGGTTAGATGAAATCGGTCTAAAAGAATATGCACCGAATTTAAATGGATCTGGCGTACATGGTGGTGTGATTGGTTTACATCCAGATTTAAATCCTCAACAATTAGCCTTAACATTACAAATACCTACATCGAATACATCAGCTCGTGCTATATTAGCTAAAGAATTAACTCAACTTGTACAACGTTTTCGTGCCAATGTACCAATTGCAGCGGCTAGTATTGGACCAGCTCCAAGAGTACTAGCAATGGAAGCCGCTGCTGTTGTTGCAGCTAATAGAGCTCGTGCAAAATTTGAGGGTCAAGATATTTGTTATCCAGATGACGGATTTAATGAAACAGCTGTATGTGATTTATTTTATTTTTCGTCTTTATTTTATTTTCCAATTTATAATGAAAATGAGATTTGAGATAAGTGTTTTGTGTAGAGATTTGTATAATTTCATGATGTTGATAGTTGCTTATGGATAACAGGTTGACTAGATTACAATAATTTAATTCTTGACACATCAGTACATTAGTCATAGGAGTAGTTACCTAACCAAGGTCAGTTCGTGAAATGAACTGTAAAATTCGACGATCTTTACAAACTGTACATAATAATAATAATAGTTATGTGTTCGTTATTAACTGATTTTGAGTGGAAATTGTTATTAAGTAAATTTAAACGATATCATGTAATATGTCACTACTCTACTTATAATACATCGGTTATCGCCTAGCCTCCCAAGCTCTAAGTACAGGCTTCGACTGGGAAGGCTAACGTTTAGTTAAGGCTGACAAAATCTTAACTCCTATTGGCCCAGAACGTATGGCATTGTTCTAACCTAGTCTTTAGTCCGATAATACAACACATCAGGCAGTGGTGCGATAGTTTATCTTATGTGAGTCAACTCATAAAATAATGCAGATTAATTACTTGATCATACATCAACATAAATATGAAATTACAATACAAGCATAACTGCCTCAGAAGTAGAAGAGAATAAAGGGGAAAGGAGAATGAATGATTAACCATAATTATGGAATAGTAAGACTTACAACAATAGTTAGTGGGTTCATTGGAAGCTTACAATAAAGACAATACGGAAATACAATGATACAGTTATCTGATGAATATGCAACAAAGGTACATATAATAACTAACTCGTAAATCAGTCCCATAAGGTACACTTTTTTCTGTAATTGCTCCGTTAAAATTATATTTCTGACAGTTCTGATGAGAGGAAGTGACCAATGGAGTTCAACCATGCAGTTACTCATCAATACAATCGGAAAATGATTGCGCAATACCGCAAATTGATTTAAGCTAAAAAGGGAAACCATTGGGTGCCGACTTAATGATCTAAAGGTTAGTCTCTCACTACTAACCCTATAGGTCCTAGATTCAAACCTTGATGGATGTTTACGTTCTGTAGCTCTCCGATGCTTCCTTGTCCCTCAATGGTATGCTAACTACGATAAATTCATGACGAATATCATTCTGCAGATTTAAATGATTTCCTCCAAAACATTTTATCTAAGTCGAGGATTATTTGTTAAATAAATTTACTAGTGTTTTAAATGTTCATGTGGTCGACATGCAATGTATTCTTCAATCGAGTTTTAGGTCATCACCAATTACATGAATAATTACTATGATAAATCCGTATAATGTATAATGAGTGAAATAGTAACATAATTGTTAATACAGTGGAGGGGTCAAACATGGGTTATGTGATAAACTGAATTATGGGCATTAAGTCAGTGATCATGCGTATGATGTGAATGTTAAATAACTTGTTTGGACGCATAGGGACAAAACAGTTACGAGAACGAAGTTAAAGAAAATATTTACATGTGGCATATTTGGTCATTTTATAATAAAGATCACTTTCAGATTATCGAATATGAGGTTCACTAAGGAAGGAAATTAGCATGAACTCACTTTTTAGGTGTATTATATATCAAGTTTCTAAAACATTCTTATTACAATTCTCTCTACTTTCTTAAGGATTTAGAGACTGACTATTTTTGACGAGTTATTTTTGATATGGTAGACAATTGAAATTGGTAGATTGATGTTAGGTTTTTGGTTCGTTTTGCCTAGATTGGCTGTGATGGAGCTGTTGATAATCTTGATCATACTTTTGTTTAGCACTTTTGTTTTTGCACTGGAAGGTGTTCACGAAAACGTGAAGTAAATTCCATGAACATTGAGCAGTACAACTTGCTTTACTCAAGCAGTTGACTTCACAGATACAAAAACAAATACTCTGTATTTTTGTGATTCATTCTAAAGAATTGTATTTTTTCATTTACTTCAGATTACTAACGATTGTGATGGAGTAGAGCAAATTGAGGATAGAGCTACACCCACAAATATTTCTGAACGAAATCTCAAGGATACAAAAAGAACTCCATTAGGACTATCTAATTCTAACTCAGATAAAAATGGTGGTGCCAAAACAACCGACATATTATCATCATCATCTGATCTCGGATTAGATTGTTCCATCACTATAAATAATACTCCTACTAGTACTAATGTCAGTAATGCAGTTCCTCATAGTAGTAATACTTCTGCTGGATCTCCCACTACAGTATCACAAAAGAAACGAGCTCCTCAGGTACCTTCTGTTAGTGTGAATACTACTAATACAACTTCTCTAACAAGTACTACAACTCCAGTAACAAATAAAACAACAGCATCTTGAACAATCTTCATTATTATTTATTTATTTGACACGTTTTCTTTTTACACTCACATTTACAATACAAGAAGAAGAATGTTCACTATTCAATGGTCAATCACAGTGAATTTCTTTCTTGAGCAATAACTGTTCAAATCCTATTACTATTATGATTATTATTACTATTTACAAAAAAATGGAAGTAAATCAGATAGACCTAATTTTCATTTGAATAATATAATATAATGGTTAATAATAATTTTAATGTCATAATCAGTGGAAACTTTGAGTCAAATTAAATATGTAAAACAGAACCGTTATCTTCTTTCCTAATTCCTCTCTCTCTCTCTCCCTCTCTTTTTTTTTTACACTTAATCTTCGACCAGATATTTTATTGTCATTATTCCATTGGGTTACACTAATAGTAAATACTATCTCTTTTCTGAATTTACCCTTTCTTTTAAATGATAAAAAGATAACTAGTTATTCTTACCTAAATTATTGTCTCATTTGATATTTTATGCCTTTTGTGTTTTGTTTCTTTGTTGCCCTATTGTATACATGTTTTACCTTTTCTTTATTGTTCAATGTTCTTTCCCAGTTGTTGTTTTTTTGTTAAAACAATTTTGATCTCATGATTTATATGCGTTTAATGTTTTCTTTTTTGTGGTTAACTCGTACCTTTTAATTTCATCAGCTAACTTATATTAACATATACACATATGTGTATATCTTATCAAATCGATAATGTTGTTCAAATGTATTTGGAAAGGAGCTAATGAATGAACAAGGAGAGTATATATGTGGTTTCATTGCCTACCTTCATCTACACTAAATTTTTTCAATACTTTTTAGTTCTTTTTTATACAAAATCTACCTCCCTTCCTCCTCATCCTCCTATGTTCTACTTCTACACCATTCTACTTCATTTATTTCAATCAACACGTAATATAAGATCTAAACTTTAGCAGTGATGGTCTTTCAATTAGGTAAAATTCAGTTTTCATTTCATCTTGTCTACTCAATTTGTATATCATTATTGAGCTGATTTCGTATCTCCATTATTAATGTTATTTGTTTACTTATCCTCTCCTTTTTATCCGATGGTCTAACAACATAAGTTTCAAATACAAAAGGCAAAAATGTAATGAAACTTTACATACTTCTTATTACGTGGTATGCGCAGATGAAAGTAATATCGCACAACTAAACATTAATTATCTCATGATTTGCATGGATTTATTACAATTTTCTGTAACGCATTTTATCCTGTCTGTCATATATATCCGTGCAGTTTACATTTTTAGAAGTAACGTTACACTTTTCTATCATTGTATTGAAAAAGCCACATGATAAAGAATGATTCTTTTCTTCTTTCTTCACCTCTTTTTTTGTCTATTTAACGATGAGTACCAAGATCAGATGATTATGGCAGTGCTAGTGATCATAATTTTTTTTAAAAAAAAGGAATATCTTGTTTTTATGGTTTCATACACATGTCATTTATTTCTAGCTTGCTCACAATCACGCATATAGAAAGCACTAACTGACATTCTGTTACATTATAAATACCCATAAAAGCATACATACATATATTTTATATTTTGTACATAAATTTAATTATTATGATTTACTGATGATAGGCTTGTTTCACTCATCCACTTTTTTATCCTATCTGTTTGTGTGTGTGTACGGTTATAGTTTGACTATTTACATTCTTAGCGCTGCTAATACTAATACTGTTATGATTACTACTGATAATAATTGTTACTACGATCATAATTATTGTTACTATTAGTAATATTATTATCATTACTACTATTGGTGGTGTTTATGCTGAAAACAATTAGACAACTGTTTGTACATTCGACCTGGTGACAAAAAGTATATATATAATGGTACAGAATAAATCTGATTTTTCATTTTCATCAATGTGATTAAAGGTAGGATAGAAACAATCTAAGAAACACAAACATGATCCGTGATTTGATTGGTTTCCTACATGTATGTTCACTCAAATACGGTAGTGTTCCACTATAAAATAATTATATTTTGTACTTAATGATCGCCAGTACTTAGTAATAAATACTTAGTATTCGGTCGTTCGTTACTGTATGAGTAACCTTGAATTATATGATTATAGGCTGGAGTAAAATGACAAATAAACCATACACTTAGTCTTTTTTGGACATATAAAAAATATATGTGTTCATCCTAAAGTCAAGGTTATGATAATTAAGCAAGCCTGCTACTGTACTTTGGAAGTTTCGTTTATGATAATTAGTTATCGTATTTTGGGTATGTTTGTGACATCAAAATCTTGCTTGACAAATGTCCTGCAAATCTTAGATTACTTCATCCATAAACTTACAGAGAATTAATTTCTATTCGTAACTTGTAAAAAAAACGACTCGTTCCGAACAGGCTATGAGATCACCATAACATGCGAATGGTTGCTGTCTCAAAGAATTATGATTTTTGGTGTGACAGTTTGTTAAGTCTCCTAATTGGACACTAGTTTCGGTTCTTAAGCTCTTCTAGTAACTCCCAGGTTAGATCTACACGGTAATTTGAACACAAGAGAAAAGGCGCGAGACATGGAAGAAACGCTTTACTCCGAAGGTCCGTTTATGTACAGAAAACCTACGGCTTTTTACAGTATTTTAGATCGCCTTGGGTTTCTGGAAATTCTGGAACGCTACTGAACAGTAGCATTATAGACAATCATCCAACCAGTTACTCGACATGTGACTTTTCACTTTCTAGATGTTTCTGGCAAAACCTCTAGTAAATGCTGATTGGATAAGATGCTCCTCAGCGTCTTCAGAACCTTTCTTGGCTTTTTTCGAGGAGTTTTCTGGATCTCCCCAACACAACTGGATCATAACCTTTCTTAAAGCCACAGTAGTGGAATGATTTACTCGACCAAAAAGCGTATATTTAGGAAGCTTCATGAATAAAAGAGTTAAGAAAACCAGCTATTTGTCATTTTCCATCTAATGTTGGCTTGTCAAGGAGACATCGAAATCCAGAAGCACTTATCGCCAGTCCATGGTTTGATCTCCATAGGGATCAACATTGAGTATTGCTAATGACAGGATGAATCGTCCGTCAAGTTATCTATAAGTTTTAACTGATGTCCTGTTGTAAAGCTATAAATCTAGCAGTTTTCGCAACCATTTTTTCCGATGACAAACTCGTGGCTAATGGACATCGGGTAATTGCGAAAGCAAATATTTTAGAAGCCGTTTCAAACAATACACTCATGGTAGTACAGAGTCCAAAAAAACTAACATTCTGGTCGAATCGGTGTGCCTGTGGCGGTGAATAGATAATCAAAATCAGTAGCTCTGTAAGTCTTCGACATTTGATGCTGATCGCATTAGATTGCAGAAACTTTTACAATCAATTTCAACTTTAGTTAACTTTTTCAAGTCCTTTTTTTACCTTATTTAACAGAAGGTTATTCGGACACTAACAATCCATTTATTTCTTTGTACTATTGTTGTCACTGTTATATCTGTATAAACGTGTATGATTGATATGTGCACTAATCCTAATGATAGACTTTGCCTCACCTTGTTTCGTCTTGATTCGATTTGACTGTAAGTTTTCCTCTGTATTCGCTCGCTCACACATACTGGCCTCTCTGCTTCAAATCAACTCGATGTGCTTGTAACTGTTATCTGTGCTAATAAACAGTAGTCAACGCTTCTTAATACATTCTGATTTCAAACACTATTGGGATTTATATAGTGATGAATAACAAGATGGTTGGTTGACGGAAGTAAGCTACTACGAGTTCTGCTGGACTTGTAGTAAACGAGAACACAAGTATGGACAACTGAGTGTAAAATCTGGGAACCATACAGCATATGCTTAATTTGCTAAATATCAGTCAATCATCTCAAACTTTATACTTCCTTCGTTTCCGCACCAATCATTCTCTGTTGTCGTTCTTTTTTCTTTGATCTTCTTAACCTTCTACCCCCAGGCGTTTCACTTTCGATTGATGGTTCAAATCGTTCAAATGGTTGTGGACGGAATAGAAGAAGCTTTCGCTTAACAGGCTTCCGTGTCTAGTAGCAGGGGATCACCAAATCCTCCAGGCAGGAACCTAGGTATGTTAACAATAAAAGAGGAAAAGAAATTGGTAAATCATAGTGTGATGCTGTCCTTGGTCCTTAAGAATAGGTCAAGTTGCCTCTTGAAGGACTCCTGAGAAGTCGCTTGGACTAACTCGGCCGGCAGCGAATTCCAGCTTTTGACAACTCTTAAGGAGTAGAAGTTGTGTCTACATTCCGTCTTGCTATGTTGTGTTTCCAGTTTCTGGGTGTTACCCCTTAGGTTATTATTCGAACTAAGCTTAAGTAGGTGTTTGAGAGGATGTCCAGAAGTGTTGAGAATACTATAAGCCATTAATAAATCACCTCTAAGACGCCTATATTCTAGTGGATAAAGGTCTAGTGAACGGAGGCGTTCTTCGTAAGGCTTAGATTTGAGTCCTCGAACTGATTTCGTGGCTCGCCGTTGGATACGCTCCAAAGTGACCTTGTCCTTTTGGAGTGAGGGGGGAGTACTATGTTTCCGTACTCTAAATGGGGACGGACGAAACTATTGAAGATTATGTGGGAAGTTCTTCCGTCAAACTGGCCAAAAATGCACCTCAACGTTACCAGTGCAAGGTTTGCTCGGAAGGCATTTTTGTCACAGTTAGCGTAAGACTTTAAGTCATGGGGCACCAGGACTCCTAAATCTTTTTCGACTTGGGATACTACTAGAGAGGAGTTTCTTAAGTTGTAACTGTAGTTTGCGACATGTCGCAGATGGACTACTTTACACTTTGAAGTGTTAAAAGTAAGTCCGTTATCGTCTGCCCAACTTTGAAGTCGAGTCAGATCCTCCTGAAGTGCCTGTGTATCGTCTTGGTTGCGTATCTCTCTCCAAAGTTTCACGTCGTCGGCAAAAAGTAATAAGTTTGACGTTACCTGTTGAGGAAGATCATTTATGTAGATCAAGAAGAGAAGAGGCCCTAGTACTGAGCCCTGGGGGACCCCACTAGGACATTCCATAGCCTCAGATAAAGTGAAATTAACCCTAACCTTAAAGTGTCGATTTTTTAGGTATGAAGTAAGCCAGTCGATTAGAGGTGGTTTGATACCTAGTCGTTTGAGCTTGTTGATAAGACACAAGTGGTTAACCTTATCAAAAGCTTTTGAGAAATCAAGGTAAATGACATCAACCTTTCCCTTGCAATCGAGGATGCTTGTTCATCTGTCCACCGCAGTCAGCAGGTTGGTTATACAAGAGTAACCTTTCCTGAAACCATGCTGTTGGGATGAGAAGAAATTTAAGAACAGTAGATAATCGTTTAAACCGTCGCATATCAGGGACTCCATGAGTTTTGAAGGTAATGACAGAAGAGCCACCGGCCGATAACTTGAAGGTTCATTGCGTCGACCACCTTTGAAAATTGGTGTGATGTGAGCCAACTTCCAATTTTCCGGTAATTTGCCTCGTCTAAGCGAGTGTGAAAACATCACGCTAAGCGGCGTTGCCAGGATTGAGGCTGCCTCCCTCAGTATGGCAGGATGAACCATATCCGGGCCAGGAGAAGTGTCAAGTCTTAAGTGCTGCAGTTTCCGGAACACCAAGTCAGCGCTTAGGTCCACTTCAGAAAGTCCTGTGGAATTGCAGATGAAACTGTCGTCAATAAAGTTGATGTCAGCCGGTTGAAATGTTTGAGAGTAATGTGCCACCAGAAGGTTAACGGCGTCGCCATCATTGTTGGTCGGGCCGTTAAGACCTAGCAGTTGAGAAACTCCTGTTTTGGCTTGACGAAGAGAGGCTGCGTAACGGAATAGGCTTCTAGGGTTAGAGGCGAATTTGTCCATAAGCTTTGTTTGGTACTGAAGCCTGTCTTCTCTTATAGCCTTCGTGCATATGTTCCTGATATGTTTATATTGCCTATACGCTCCATCGTTATTAGTTCGTTTATATTCCGCCCAACAGTGTCTTTTGTGGCTTAGCAGGCGAAGGGTACGGTTCTTGATTACTGTAGGTGGCTTGCAGCTTTTGGGAACCGTTTGAGGAACTGAATGGTCTGTAGCACATAAGAGCGTGTGCAGTAAGAAGTCCCAATGACCATCCACATCGAGTTGAGGGTGAACATCCCAAACCACCTGTTGTAGATAGTCATGTAGAGCTGGCGCATTCAGCCGTTTAAAATTCCAACGCAAATTATTGTTGGGATACCTTAGCTTAGTTTTGATGACAAAACTGAAGGCTATGACGGCATGATCGCTTTTTCCCAGAGGAGCCAGGATTGAGAGGTTGTCGACTAGGAATTCTTCGTTAGTGAATACACAGTTTAAGCGCGATGGTGTCTGACTGTTTCTCCAACGAGTTGCCAACCTCACATTTTCATATAAGCCCAAGTTATCGATGAGGTTGAAGAACCGAGCTTCAATTGAGTTGTCGCCTCCAGTGTACGTGTGTTCCGCGAAGTTGACTCTAGGGAGATTAAAGTCCCCTAGAATCAGGATGTGTGTGAAACCGAGACGGATAGAGCGGGATAATCCTTCCAGCATACGACTATCGTACTCGGTGTCGGCAGTTGGCTTCTTGTAAATGACTCCGACTAGACACCTGGAAGTACTAGACAACCTTACAAAGCACCATATGGATTCCTCAAGATTGTTAAACTCGAGGTTGTGAACATGGTGCACCTCCAAGCAAGAGCTTATGTATATGGCTACTCCGCCCCCAATTCCTATTTTTCTGTCGTTGCGGAACAAAGTCATCCCAGGTAGTGCTAACTCCTGGTCCGAGAACTGAGAAGATATCCAGGTTTCAGATATTCCTATCAGATGGGCCTTATTAGCGTTGCTAAGTTCACGTAGTT